TTAAATAAAAGACCAGTGGGAAGTGAAATGAGCAATTATAGAAATAATAATAGTTAATAGAATTGATACTTGGGCACTTGATCAACAATAATCCATACTTGTTGACTTATTCAAATGAAAGTTAACTATTTATCTTACTGGTGTGTACAAACAGACACTGACTCACTCTATAAAGCAATATTGGTATATATATTGGTACACAATCCGTCTCGCATAGTTTTCATTTGATACAACAACCTCTTATATTACCTATTGAATTATTGTCGATGGCTCTCTTTGTATAATCCTCACAGTATTTACGGTATAGGGTATACGGTATGTACTCTCCAACAATCTATCCGTTGTTCATATAGATATAACATTCAGGATTTAACTATCTACTATTACATGTAGTAGCAAACCAGCCCAACGATTCTCCCGTAAATACCTGTACACTCCTATCCTACCAGTAGTAATATTGCTTCTGGTGATCCTTTATAGCTAGCGTTTGTTCGTTGTTGCTGCTGCTGCTGCTGCTGCTGCTGCTGCTGTCATAATTCTAGTTAAACAACAAATGACAATCTGTCAGTTTTAATTGATTGACAGAGTTATTATTGACTTGTATTGGATTAAGCTTACAAGCAGCATCGTGTCTATAATTATTATCAAAGAGTTGAGTGCTGGAGAACCTGTAAGAGGTATATGTCATAGTCAGTATATATAATAGTAAGTAGTAAGTAGTAAGTAGTAGAGAGTATAGTAATCTGTTGAAACAACTAACTGTTACTTTTTACTTTGAATTATTGTATAACAGAGAACAAAGCATATTATATATTATAATTTATAAATAAATTCAAAAATATAGATAATAGCAACAACAACATTATAAAAAAGATATTAGATAATATTGAAGAGAGGTCTTAGCCATATAGTATCATTCAGTGGATCAATAGTTAATGTGTCACGGTGTACTGCTTGGAGCCCTATCTATGTCTGTTTCCGCATGAAAAGAGTCACCACCAGTCGGACTGCTTCCGGAGCTTTCTCCATTTGTTTCGTCTGTACCTACTACTACTACTACTACTACTAATACTATTGTATCAAGTATGATTGTATATATCTAACTATTTGTTTGTTTGTTTGTTTGTTTTCTTTATTTGTTTGGGTCTATTTGTCGTGTGTGCGGTCGATCGAGTCTCGAGGGTTTACTTGATCCCAAAAGAGCTATTTCCGTGGATGTGACTCGTGTTCACGCACGAAAACAAATGACGTTCCTACAATAAGTACCACCAACTAGCAAACGAGCAAACGACCAAACAACCAAACGATGCATTTCTCCTCCTTCTATTTTCCTCTTTATACCTTTATACCATCTTATCAGCACTGGTTACCTCTAAATTACTCCATACTCAAGTGGAAGAAGGAGTAATTAAAATTCCCTCTTATAATTACAAAGTATTATAAATTATAACCCTCTCCCTTTTTTCATGTATTATTTGCACCAAGCTTGAGGTTTCAGTGTTTAGTTAAAAGACAAGGGAACCACCACCACTAATACCACCACTACTACTACTACTACTACTACTACTACTACTACTACTACTACTACTACAACACTATCAATAACTCCACCATCACCATCTTGTTAATCTGATTGTTTTATTTTTTATCAGTGTTTTTGTATATGTTATTAAGTCAATCTCTTGTTCTATTTCTTCCACTTGATGCCTCTATATACAACACAAAAGGTATTGAATATTATATTTTTTTCTTTTTTAACATTAGCATTAAAAGGAGGAGTAAGTAAAGTGTCTCTCGACTGAGATGTTCCCCTGTAAATAACTCCCGTCGACCGTCGACCGTCGATGGTTCATCTTATTAGACCTACGCTACTATATAAACGTATCTTACCGGTATTCCCAACAGTTAGTTACGTACAGAGAGTCTCGAGCCACCGAAGACGGTCCATCACTATATTTTATAATAACATTTTAGTTTTTTTTTTATTTATTTATTTATTTATTTTTACTATGTATTGTATACATATTTAAAATATTTTGTTTTATTATCTACCAGTTATTAAAGATTTTTCAGTGACTGTGGATTAATTTTAAATTAAAGTTACCTTATATTGTAGCATACACTCACCGGTTTCTTCGAGGAGATTTAATCGGTAAAAAAAAAAAAAAAAAAAAAAAAAAAAAAAAAAAAAAAAACATTACCGACATGTGGCGCATTCAGGTATGTTTAAATTTTAAAATAAACCTTAAAATTATTCATTTTTAAACCATACAGTTTCAATATCATTGTTGTTGCTGGTATATTTTGGGTGGTAACATTGATCCTCATCAGAGTATAGTTACGATGTTTACGTGCCAGACTATACGATATGTATATAGACGGATTGCGGGTAGCGAGCTTTACAAACGGTGATTATTTAAAAACATGCAACTAATTCGTAAAATGTATTATGCTTCTTTTTATTACTCTTTATATTGCGGAAGTTTATTTTTTTTTTTTTAATAATACTAATGCAGTTTAGCAATTAAATTACCATTTTTTTTTATTAACGTCTCAATTACTTGGAGTATATATTATAACTTTGAGAAAAGGGTATTTAATGAAAATAAAAATATAGATAGAGTAGGTAATTGTACTAGTTATCTTTTTAACGCTTTATCAGAAGGAGTCAAGTGCAATTTTATTTGCATGTGTTTTTTATCTTTATTTTTTTTATTTTTTATTTGTAACGAGATCAAAGGTTCGACAAATTATTGCCCGGGAATGTTCTGTTGAATGGTGTACTGCAATGGTATTGAAGACCGTGAGTATATACACAGAGAAAAAAAAAATGTCTGTTGTGTGTTGTGTGTTGTGTGTGTATATATATAAGGGAAAGGTGTGAGTGTGTGAAGATTCTTATTTTCTGTGTATAGAGACTTGAATAGGTCACATCTAAGTAGGCTAGAGTACAACTTGAGTCAACTATTCGATGAAAGGTGATGCAATACGCTCAGTACACTGCTCTCGATCTACTGGAATCTCTTTTGCCACCCTGAATACTCTATCTCTACTTTTACCTCTATCTTCTCTAGCTGTACCATACCATACCATACCAAACCATTACTTCTGTCTCAACTTTTATCTCTATCTCGTATACTTGATATACACTCTCATGCAAACTTATTCTATTTCAATAGCTTTTGCTGGTGCTCCTGCTTCTGCTGCTTCTGATGCAGCTATTATTGCTATACCTTAACTTTACCTACACGTTAATAAAACATTTAATTGTTTAATTGCATTCATACCAATTACTCAGTTTAAAGTAAATGTACTATATTTAAACCCCTATTGATTAGTAATAAAAGTTTTAGACTAAAAAATTACTTATTTATACTTTTATTTATAACTATTGTATAATATCCGTTGAAATACTATTTTAAATTATTAGATAAAATTTAATTTTGAAAACGAGATTAATTTTAAAAGGAAATTCGTATTCTATTGTGACCTTTTGTCCTGATTGTATCAAAATAGAATATTCAAGTAATTATTTTACACCTTTCAAAGATTATTTAATTTAATTAATTATTCTCGTGAATTAATCTAACTGACAAATTTCAATTTGTAATTAACCCATTCATCGTTTGAATAATTAAATTCTTTGATATCTCTTTTTAAATTTTATTGAAATAACAATACTATTATTATTATTATTATTATTATTATTATTTTTATATAATGAAACAACAAATCAAGAATTTAATTCTATAATTATAATTATTATTATACTATTGTAAGAATAAAAATAAAATAAAATTATTAATGAACTGATTGTAATAGGGAGAGTTGACACAATGCCGGAGCAATTATTTTTCCATCAAGGCGAATCAACTCCTCACTGTTTTCGTGCTCTTTTAATTTGTTTTTTTAGGTCTCTGCAGTAATAAAAAGATAATATTTATGCAAGAGCAAAGGAACAAATAAAAGAGCCCTACAATAATTTAGAAAAGAAAAACTTTTAATTTTAGCTAAAAATAAAAAATCTAAAAGAAAGGATAAAATAGGTATAAAGAGAGTTATTTCAACGGTAAACGAGTGAATTTACTTTGGTAACAGCGTATAATTATTATTATTATTATTATTATAAAACTAATAGTAGTGCTGGGTGGTATATTTTTATATACAACAGATAAACGAAAGAATTCACGCGCTTAGTTTACGAGTGAGTCGTTAATAGTCACAGGGGTAAAGTAAAAAGATAGACGAGCTAGGTGCATTGTTGCGACAGTTTTTATTACTAAAATAATTCATAGCTCTTGATGCCGCATACAAAATATATATATATAGAATAGAAAAATACGATACGGATACAGATACGATACTATCAATCTATATACATATAAATGTGTTTGGTATATAATGAAAATATGTATGTAATGCGTGTGAAACGTGACAGTTTACCAAAGTGTATAATACTGGACACTAAAAATATCGATGAAACCAGATATAATAAAAACAAAGTTATATAATAATAAAAACCCTTGATAAACAAAAAATAAAGCTGTGAGGTAGTTTGCAATTAAAAAAAAAGTAAAAATACTAAAAAAAAAAAAAAAACGGAAATAAAAGATAGAAACAGAAATATGGAATATGTTGAGATAAATATAGATCGGATGACGTTGTTTCGCTCGGTTGATTGCTCGTTCAACCGAGAAATATTGGCTACAAAACGAATATTATTTCATGAAATTAAATTGCAAGGATATACTCTGATGTTAAATCAACACAGCCATTGTTTTATTTTCTTTATAACATTAATCCAGTTATATTATTTTACTAAAATAAATAATGTCACAACAATTAGTAATTTGCTATGTATATATAATATATAATATAATAACTTTTCCTTATGCTTAAAGCTTGCCAACATTTGAGCTATCGATTATTTACAAAATTAACTTATTATCATCAACTGTATATATGTATATTAAATTAATTAATAAATAAAATGATATTTAATTTAGCTAATAATGATGTGTTTGACGGTGATTAACGTCCTGGGAGATTTACCACCGGGTACTAGACGTAACAGCAATGAATATTTGCCACCGGAACCAACAAAAGGATACAATTACAATACACCATCGGTACCATTTCCACGACCAACTCCAGGATTTCCAGGATCTCGACCGACGGCTTCCTTTCCGGTAGGACCAACAAGACCTACCCCAACATTCCCAACAGGACCATCGAGACCTCCAACTCAGCAACCTGGACGACCGGGAGGTGGATATCCAACTCCAGGTCCACGACCTACTCCTGGTTTTCCTACACCGACAAAGCGACCCCCAACTGGGGGCTATCCTGGACCAGGTCCACGACCCACTCCCGGATTTCCGGATTATCCTGGTCAACCCTCTGGCAATAACGGCAATACTGTACCGGGGGTGAGTCATTTTTCCTATTTTCCCCTTTTTTACCTCCATAAAATCGTTTATTCAATTATTATTATTATTAATTACTATATTCTAACATTCATTTTCTCATCAATACTCTTTTTATCTCACAGATTTACCATTTTCCATTGTTTCAATTGACAATACAAAAGTAATTAAAATTAAAATAAAAATATTGAATTTTAGCATTGATGAATATATAAATTTTAAATTAAAAAATAAACAACTGCATACTTTTAAAGATATTTTATCTTTTTCCTCACGCACTTCAGTTAAGTAAACTCATGGAGACTTTTAGTTAACAGCGGAAACACCGGTGTGTCTTAATAATAAGACTTGAAGACAATTAATCATTATTATTATTATTATTATTATTATTATTATTATTAAATAAACAATAGGCGTTTTTTTCTCATGTAATTAATTGATTGCCCACATGACAATTGTATGTGTATAAATACTAGTTAGTATTAACTAGGACGATGAGTTAATAATAATAATAATAATAATATTTTTATCTTATTTAAAAGCATGAACATCACCACGAGCCGGGAATGCCCTTTGACTTTAATTATGCGGTTAAGGAAGACGCATTTGGTAACGATTATTCGCACAATGCTATTAGTGACGGAGACATTGTAAAAGGTGAATACCGAGTTCAACTTCCGGATGGACGCACGCAAGTTGTTCGTTATACAGCTGACTGGCAACACGGGTTCAGCGCTCAGGTTTCTTATGAGGGAACACCACGTTTGGATCTTCAACGACCTGGTGCTGGTCCTTTCAGGGGTTATTAAATATAATATAGGTATAAATCATTTCATTTATTTTATTTTAATATTTATTCAACTATCCAACAATTTTTATTTAACACATTTAAAATTTAATAATTAATATAAGTAAAAAGTCCATTCTTATCTTTCTACAAATATGTATTGATTATTAATAAGAGTCACGATTTATTGTACGGTGAAATAACGATATAAATAAAATATCATAATTATGATTATGATAATGTGATGCAATCGGGATTGATGATACCTAATATATATTGAATAATAACAATTATAATATAAAAAAAATTAAACCCACAAATTGCTGGTATATATTCAAAATAATTTAATATTTATATGGCATGTATCGATTTATTTCGCAATATATTTTTAAAATAAATCATCAGTACTGTAAAAAAATAAATGCATTGTTTTATTTTTTGTTCATCAGTCACACACCCGCGAGTTGACCAACAACGATCGACCTTTGTAAACAACAGCAACAACAATAACAATAACAATAATAACAAGTAGGGAATAGTGTGTATATTATTATTCAGCGGTGGAACGATTCAATCGGTTTGGAACAATGAGCTACCTTGAACACACAGACACACAGTGGTGTATAGAAGATAAAAGTATAAAAGTATACAAGAGTATATATAATAATTCAAATAGTTCAGTTTGTAAAGGCTTCAGTGGTAGTTAAAAGTTGCAAGAGTGCACCAGTCTCGACGAATAACGTAACACCAATACCAACACACGGACAAACTCGAGACTGTCGAGATCACACTCTATATATAGTATATTGTAATTGGTATATATATATGTATGTGATATCAGAGATGAGGATGTTGCGGAGGAGTTTGCCAAGATGCCCAAGATATTAAAATAAAAATATAAATAAACATAGGCCAAAGTGTTGGTCGACACGTGAACTAATCTCCAAGGAACTCACTTTCTATTTCACTGCTCCGTTACGTGTTACGTGGGAAGATCAAATCCTCGTTCATTACAGGGGTTTTCATTTTCGCGTTCACCTTCTATATTCGCTCACTGTTATATTTCTTATTTTTTATATTTTACTTTCCATCAATCTATCTCACTAATATTTCACTGTTCCAATACTACCGCTAATAATTTTAAACCATTTTTCACTACTCAACTACTCAAAAATTCTTTCTTCATTATTATTATTATTATTATTATTATTATATTATTTTATTATTGTAATTATATACAGGTTAAATTATTAAATAGTTTTACTGTAATGAAAATTGAAAAAATTAATATGTTACTCGTAGAAGAGTTGAAAGAAAAAACTTTTAATGAAAAAAAATTAATTATTAAAAAAGTTAAAAATTCCTTTTGATATAATTTTTTAAGCCGATAAAGATGATTGTAAATTCTCTTTTATAGAAAGACGAGCTAAGGACACACTTGATAGGTGAGAAATGAGGTCATTGACGTAACTCTTTTCGAACCTTATATACTATCTCTTATATATTTTCCACTCCAAATCTTAAAACTGTAACGATCGATTCCATAATTCCTCGTATAAATCTTATTAATCTTTTTAATTCGATCAGCAAAAATCATATTGCGGAAAGTTTTTTCAATTTTCATATTTTTTGTAACGTAACTGTTGGAAAAAAAAAAAAAAAAAAAAAAAAAAAAAAAAAAAAAAAATGTATAGAATCAAAAAACAATAGATGTATAATTTAAATTGGAGTATTTTACATATAGTTTATACGTATATATTATATTTATTTAGCTATTTATTTTTATTTTATTATTATTTCTGATAGTATAATTGAAAATGTAAAAGTTGTAATGGATGTGTAACAAAAGCTGTAATTGTTATGTTGCTTCAAGGTTTCACCTGTCAGACAAACATTACATTTAAATTTACTTTGGAAAATAATTCTATTATGTTGTAGTAAAATTGGCAATCACATTCAGCTTCAAATAATGGTTTTCAATGCTTCTGGCATTTTAGTTGGTATTATATTATAGATATATAATAAATAAAAGTATTATATGTACAACGGGAAATAGTTGTGGAATTAGTTGAAATTTTTTATTGAGGAAATTGAAAATAAAATGATTTTTTGATAAAACTATTATCAAGCTAAATAATCCGTTTTGCATCAAAAGGGCGAGGGTGTTAAAATGGATTATATACTTATATACTTATGTACCATTTTCCGGTTTCCGGTTTTTCCCACCCTAATATTGAACCTTTTACTCGAATAATCCAATCACCAAATATAATATTCAAAGATCTATCTATTCAGTAAAGATTACATTTATCATTCAATTTAAAATTTGAGAAAAAAAAAAAAAAAAAAAAACCCCCCTTCCTTTATTAAATTAACAGTAAATATGATTAAATTTTCAAGTGTAATATATATATATATATTTAAAGACAGCCAAACGTTTAGATTGACATTTATGAATTATTATATGACTGTTTGAGGTATTTGTTGAACAAGTTCGATCTGTATATATCAAATTATATACAGATAGCTAAAAAAAATGTCATGCGATCACGAGGATACACCTGGTTGTCAATTTCATCCATACAATGTCTACAAATAAAATTAATTGTAAAAATATTTTTTCAAATTCAATAAATTTATCAAGTTCATATGACAAATATTTCAATGGACATTGTCTATCACCTTTAATGACACTGTCATTTCTGTAACGACAATTTATTTCGTTTTACTTTATCAAAAAAATAACATAAAATTCAATAAATTTTTTTTTTTTTAGTTAGCAAAGTAGTATCTATAAAGTAACTATTTAAATAAAAATGATAATTCATAAGAATATATATAGTATACTATATGTGCTTGAATAAATTATTTTACAATCAAGGTAAGTAAAGCCATCTATATTAAGAATATTATTATTTCAATGGTACTCTCTTTGTTCGTGGAATATGAATGCAAAAAGTCTTGATAATAATTTGGTATGAAACAAAGGATAACTAAAAGTACTCGTTGATTTTTCTTTATCCTTCCTTTATCTTTTTTATTCTTTTTCTAAATTAATTTCTCATAGAAATTGAATAGCAAAAAGTTTGTTCTACATTAGTTTGATTATGTATACTGACTGAATTTAAATTTCAAAGTTTAATAAACTTTTTAAGTGTTATTTTTTTATGGTTATAAACTTAAAAAATCCTTAACTGAAGTTTTTCAATAATTAAAATTAATTATTATACTGATTACTCTGTGAAGAATGATAAATAAAGTAAAATTTAAATGAATAATAACTGTTATCAAAACTCAATAATATAATAAATTAATCACAACTCATAACTCATAACTGTTGTGTATAGTAGGACTAAAAGCTCCTATAACATAAAAGCTTAATTTAAAAGGATTTATGATAATAAAACTTTATTAAATTACAGAATGAAAACTTTTTTTGTGTAATAAACCGCTTATATATAAATAAATCACCTAATGATTTATATTGGAGTATCACTTGTCGATCGACGGTGCTGCTATAGCTCTTATAAAGTAAGGATAAAAATAATATAAATATAAATATTTTATAGGTGATATAGATATGTTGTTATTTATACATATAAATATTTTACAACGAGAAAATGCAAAACGTTGATACATATATCACTTTTCCCATTCCTTTCTTTTTCTCCTTCCGAGTTATATTTATCTATGTATAAAAGAGTTTTTATTTATTGGAAAAGAAAAAAGCTTTTTTGACAGTGACGTCATGTTAAGCTTTATCTTTTTTTTTTTTTTTTTTTATTTTATTTAATTTAAAATTATATTGGATGAATACTTTTGCAACGATAATATAAAAATTTATTTTAGTAAATAAGTCAACTATTTGTTTTACATAATATATTAAATTTAAATAATTCAGAAGTGAGCATGAGGGAATAGACTTTTGTAAAAGTGAATCACAAAATTTTATATATACATATAGATAGATGTGTTGGTTGAGCAATTCTTACTGTTACAGTTTAGTCCCAAAGAGAGTATAGTATTAAAATTCAAACAAATTTAAACTCAGGAGCCCGTATGCACAACTTTTAAAATGTATAACGTTAGATAGTTTTGGTAGTTTTGGTAGTTGAATAGTTGGATAGTTCGATACAAATCGTATAGGTAAAGTTAAACTAGGTTTCGCTCTCTTACCTGTATAACTGTCAACTGCTAGCAAGTGTCGAGTAGAGTCAGCGCTCCTCAATCTTACACTTTTCTTTACTTACACACACACACACACACACACATTACCAATTCATCTCGTCTTATCTCCAAACTACAATAGAATAAACATTTAACGAATTTAGACAAATAAATCGATAATGTGATGATTGATGATGAATGTCTATAAAGGCTTAAGTTAAGGAATAATTAAAGGGGATGAAAAAAAAGATTAAAGGCTTTTTTTTTTTTTTTTTTTTTTGTAGGTATTTTGGTACAGCCAAAGAGAAAAGAGAGGAAACCCGATCAAAGGGAATTCTGGTAAAGTAAAATGGCACGAATAGGTGCAAGTTGTGGCAGCGTCAATACTAAGCAATACTGAGCAATAGTGAGTAGTAATATAGAGCTCTCGCGATCCATTTGCTACGAAGGCGACGAGCCAATAAAGAATTCAACGTGAAAAGCTTGACCTATGCAACATACTTTATATACTCATCCTCATCCTCATCCTTTCAACTCAACAACATTTCTCTATCGCTGACCACACGCTACTGGTATGTTGATACCTATATCTATAGTTGCTTTTATATCTATCTATCTATCTACCATCACCAGAACCACCATAAACTTTGTTACTTAGTTCAAAGTATATCAGCTCTGCCAAAAGTCTCTTTGATACAATCGAAACAAACGTTTTCGTTAGACCATCATCAGCAATAGATATATATATATATATATATTCTTTATTTTTATACGGTACAGCTATTTTGTTAAAAAGTTATCAGAATTCGTTAGTTCTAGCTCTGTTTAATTCTAATAGTACCAAAGTCTATGCAAATATATAAAGCATTTAATAATTAAATTAAATTCAAAAGTTAACTAAACGTTAATGCACAACTACATATACATCCGGAAAAAAATATAAACATTCACCAATACTTATCAAATAATAATAATAATTATTATTATTATTATTAATGAAGCTCCATTAGTTGATATTATTAATTATTGATAATTACTTATTGCGGATTAATTAATAACTGAGGTATGCAAATAGAGATATTTAAAAGCCATTTTTAAATATTAATAAATTATAATCGGCAAAATTAATAAACTTTAAAGTTATGTACAAAGTTGAAAAGACAAGTTTTATTATAATTTATAATTGTCTGTCTCTGGCTCGGTGAAAGTAATTAAATTAGTTTCTCTTTAGATAGATTAAATAACACGTGTTATTCATAATAATATGTCCGTTATTGTCTATCTTAAAATTTACCAATTACACAGTTTATGTAATTTTATCTATAAAATAATAATAAAAAAAAAAAAAAAATTAATATTAATAAAATAATAAAAATATAAATTTATACCTATAAAGAGAGAAGAGCTATAAATGATGTTTCTGGTGTGATATTGGAATACGCAATGTGCCGACAATCTAGTTTACGATGAGCATTTATATATGTACATACCGCATATCCATCTCTATGTACATCATAATAACAACAATGATGTTGATGATGATGATGATGATGATAATATCTTGAGATGCAGAACCAGAACGATTTCGTAAGAATACGAATAAGAAAAAGATGGTGAGGATGAGAGTGAAAAAGATTAAGAGAAAGAAGAAGAAGAAGAAGAAGAAGAAGATGAAGAAGAGACAGCTGTAGATCGATGTTGCCACGGTAAATTAGATCAGGTGAAGAGTATTGCCTAACCAAGGCCTGCGAGAGCGCATCTCTTGAGAAGGTAGTTTCCGTTTGAATGGCAGTTACCATCTAACTCTCATGCCAGCCACTTTTCCAATGTGAAATAGCGAATTTCACGTCTCCAGTACGTATTCCTTACTCCTTACTCCTTTACTCCTTTACTCCTTTACTCCTTTACTCCTACTATTACCACTACTACCGCACTAACTTTCGTGTGAAATGTTCATTAATGCATACCCATACGGAGAGTTACAATTACATTAACGTCTCGACTGCATCATCAGTAATATATATCCTCTGTTTATTATCATTATTATTATTATTATTATTATTATTATTATTATTCAACGAGGCATATTTTAATTAACTGCACCAGCCAGCATCGTCTTCATCTTCATCATCCTCTTTATACCCTGCCATCAAATGATATAATGTTATTACTATTATTATTATTCTTCTTCTAATATAATTTAACAATAATCGCCAACTACCACCATAAAAATTCTATAAAATAACAATAATAATAATAGTATCGTGCGAGTATTGAGGCATGAAATACGTTTATGGAAAAATAATTGAAATGGAATTATTACAGCGGAAAAAAAGATCAAACCATCAATAATTAATGATGATGATGATGATGATAATAATTGAAAATTAACGCACATCAATTACACAATAAGTGATATTGAAAGCCTGAGTAGAGTGGGTTTCAATAAACTCATTATGTAATAGCATCGCATCAGATCGGATCGCATCACATCACCCGGAGCGCATCTTACGTTACAGCTCTACAGCTCTACAGCTCTACATCTTTCACGAGTTAGAGGATTGCACAAAACTTATCCTATACTTATATATTCTGATGCATACAAGACAACAAGAGAACATGTTTGATTTTTTTATTTTTTATTTTTATTTCATTTTTAAGTACCGGTATTGAACTGTCGTTAAAACTGATTATTCCTCAATCTAGTATAATATTATCATAATAATAATAATAATAATAATAATAATAATAATAATAATAATGATGAGGACGTTCTTGTCACCCGCGCTCGCTGTATTCTTAAATAATGTTATGACGAAAGTTGTTCGCTTACTTTTGTTTTGTATTATAAGGATAAAATAAAAATGTGTCTATCCCATATAGATGTATACATGTTTATCTACATTTTATATAAGGATAATAACAGACAACCAATCTTATTTGCATCACAAACGAAAAATATTATTATTCTTGCAATATAATCCTTTTTTATTTCATCTTCTTTCTTTAAACTTTTTTTATGGCAATCTAGATCATACAATCTAGGACAATAACTTTTTTGTAACTCGCGTACTTGATTCTTTTTCTTTTTCTTTTTTATTTATTTATTTATTTTTCTTCCCCTCTCCCTTTCCTCTTTTTTATTTATATATTGCATCTTCTTTTATATTTTATTTTACGAGAGTAAAAGTCTTGTTTGTATTTCATTTTTTCTCTCTCAACAATTATAAATTTTTATTTAGATTTCTTTTTAAAGATAATATTATATATATGTATAACAAAATAGTATGTGACATTGAGAAATTTATCGCGATGAGAGATTTAATATATTTATTGCGTATATTATATTTACGAGGATATAAAAAATAGTAAAAAAGTATAGAGGGAGGGAAGAAAATAAGAATAAAAATGTATGTAGAATGGCTCAATAAATTGAGTGTAACGGATCTGTGTTATTTTGCAACGATTATTCTCTCATGTATTAGAGAGTGCAAAAATAAATCCGGAGGTAAAATCGGAGCAATACCTAACGACAAACGTGTCTCTTTATTTTTAGGGTAGGGGTAAATAATATACAGCTAATCATTATTATTATTATTATTATTATTATTATTATCTCTTCTTTATATAGGTATTATAAGTAAGTAAAATAAATGAAGATGCCACCATCAAAGATCCGTTTTCGATGTGTTGTAAAAGATTGTCTATCACCCCACCAAACGAGTATTAAAGTATATCGTGTATATACTGGATAACTGGAAGATCCGCCACCGCCACCGACACCGATACTGATACCGACACCGTCACCATCACCATCACCCACCAGTACTGATCACCGATGGGATCCCAATGTTGGTGGCATTACGCGACTATGTCGATCTTAAACAGTAAATCTTAACCATGTTGCCATATTTACGGCTTCTGCCTATTGCTCCTGGTAGTAATGCTGGTAATGCTGGTTACCTGGGAGCCCTCCTATGCCCTCCTGCCAACCATCCATTTAATCCATGATTCTGAATCACGGATCGTCTTCGGGGATATATAAAGCGGATTAGAACCCAAGAGTTTGTCATTCCCACGACACCACTCTCTGGTGGTGGGTTAACTCCTTGTTTTATTCTTATAGTTATAGTATTATTATTATTACTATTGTTATTATTATTATTATTATTATTATTATTAATTATTATTATTATATATTATTACAAACTATTATAAGCGACAAAGTACTGGCAGGTTGGTTAGTGGTAACAGAACAAATAAGACCACACAGAACTTAACTTGGTCACTTACGAAAATTTCCCAGACACACATATTTCCCCTTGCTGGGAAAGGAAAAATATCACCACTATTGTCATTGCCTTTTTTTTTATTCTTTTTATTTTGTTCACACTTGCCATACTTACATTTATTATTTAATATTACACTACCATCATGTTTAAGGTGAGTGACGCAATTATCATGTGTTTTACTCGATTTAATTAGTTTCAATTAAAATTTTGTAATTATTTTAATAAAATTTATTTTTTTCAGTTAATGCTATTAGCGTCAGTGTTGACTGCAATATTGGCAAGACCAGAACCACCCGTTAATTCTTATTTACCACCGGGTGGATCCCAAGGCGGTGGTTTTAGAGGTGGTGGTGGTGGAGGACCTTCCGACGGTTTTAGACCGCCACCAATCGATAGTAATGGGCCTGGAGGTGGAAGACCATCCAGTTCTTACGGTCCTCCAAGTAAATTAATTACGCCTTATTTATTTTTATATTTCATAAAAAAGTTATTTTTAAATACTTTTACCAAGTTTATCTATCTGTTTTTACTCAACTTATTAAGGACAAGGCGGTCAAGGAGGACAAAATCGCGGATTTGGAAACCAAGGGGGATCTGGAGGTGGAAGACCATCAAGTAGTTATGGACCTCCAGGAGCCCAAGGAGGTAATGGATTAGGTGGACAAGGCAATCAAGGTGGTAATGGATTTGGAAACCAGGGAGGATCTGGAGGTGGACAACCTTCAAACAGTTACGGGCCTCCAGGAGCTCAAGGGGGTAATGGTTTTGGAAATCAAGGAGGTGGAGGATCTGGAGGTGGAAGACCTTCAAACAGTTATGGTCCTCCTGGAGCCCAAGGAAATGGTGGATTCGGAGGACAAGGAGGACAAAGTACTCGTATTATATTTTTTTTTTACAATTAATTTAAAAAAAATGTATGATAAACTATAATTATCAATAAATAGGTGGATCTGGAAATCAAGGTGGATCAGGTGGAAGGCCTTCAAGTAGTTACGGAGCCCCAGGAGCCCCAGGAGCCCAAGGCAATAATGGATTCAGTGGACAAGGCAATCAAGGGGGTAATGGATTTAGAAATCAGGGAGGATCTGGAAGTGGAAGGCCTTCAAACAGTTACGGACCACCTGGTGCTCAAGGCGGTAATGGTTTCGGTAATCAAGGCGGACAAGGTAATCATCAATAATTTTTATCTTAAATATTTCAAATAAAAATTTTAATTATTATTTTTTAATAATAAGGTGGTTTTGGTGGACAAGGAGGATCAAACGGTGGAAGACCATCCAATAGTTATGGACCACCTGGAGCTCAAGGTGGTAATGGATTTGGTGGACAAGGTGGTCAAGGAAGTCAAGGAAGTCAAGGAGGTGGATTTGGAAGCCCTTCAAACAGTTATGGACCTCCTGGTGCTCAAGGTGCTCAAAGTGGCTTTGGTAATCAAGGTGGACAAGGAGGTTCAGGAGGTTCAGGAGGTTCAGGAGGTTCAGGAGGAGGCAGACCTTCTAATAATTATGGACCACCTGGTTCTGGATCTGGCTCAAATTCTGGTGGTTTTGGATCACAAAATGGACAAGGATTTGGTCAACAGGGAGGAGGAGGTGGTCGTCCATCAGACTCATATGGACCCCCGGGTGGTGGAGTATCCGACAGTTATGCACCTCCACCATCTGGTGTTCAAGGGGGACGAGGAGGCCAAGGAGACCAGGGAGGACAAGGAGGACAAGGAGGTTCTAGTGGTTATGGAACTGGAAATGAAAATGGAGGATCCAATGATGAAGAAAGCAATGTATGATTCTCATAAAGTTATTATTTTAAAATATATTATTGCTTAATAACTTACTCAACTTGTACAATATATATTATTTAGGAACCAGCCAAGTATGATTTCAATTATGAAGTTAAGGATCCACAATCAGGAGTTGATTTCGGACAAACTGAGAGTCGAGATGGAGACCGAGCACAGGGTATGTTTAACGTACTTTTACCAGATGGAAGAAAACAAATAGTCGAATATGAAGCGGACCAAGATGGTTTTAAGCCACAAATAAGATACGAAGGTGAAGCAAACACTGGAGCTGGTGGTCCTGGTGGAAATAATGGTTATCCCTCAGGTGGTCCAGGTGGAAACAATGGAGGTGGAGATAATGGTTACCCCTCAGGTGGTCCAGGAGGAAACAATGGAGGTGGATATCCCTCAGGAGGACCAGGAGGACCAGGAGGACCAGGAGGAAATAACGATGGTGGATACCCTTCTGGAGGGCCAGGTGGAAACAATAATGGAGGATTCCCTTCAGGTGGTCAGGGTGGAAACAGTGGAGGTGGATATCCTTCAGGTGGCCCAGGAGGAAATAACAACAACAACAACAACAACAACAACGGAGGTTATCCTTCAGGCGGACCAGGAGGAAACGGTGGATCTGGAGATGGCTACCCATCGGGTGGTGGTCCCTCTGGTGGAGGATTTGGTGGAAATGGTGGATCTAGCGATGGTTATCCATCTGGACCAGCAAATAACGGCAGAGGTGGTGGTGGTAGTGGCAATAACAGAAACGGAGGCGGTAGTGGTGGATACCCATCGGGTGGTCCGGGAGACAGCAACCAAAATGGTGAGTTATTATTGGTATCAGTATAATATTATACTTTGGCAAGATAAAAAAGTTTGGATAAGAAAATAATGATGATTGACGAGTGAAAAATGTTTTACAGGATATCCATCAGGGCGTCTTAATGGCGGGGGTGGTGGTTTCGGAGGTTCATCCGGTGGAAATGGAAATGAAGGTTATCCCTCTGGTAGACCCGGCGGTAACAGTGGCTTTGGTGGAGGTAATAATGGTAGAGGCAGTGGAAGTGGAGGTGGATACCCCTCCGGAAGTGGTGGTGATGCCGCAGCAAATGGAGGATATCAATATTGATCCTCTTGATAATTTGATACTCAAAGTGTACTTCTGAAATGGTGAGATAAAATGGGACACGATATCCGATCTCCGCATGTAATCTAGACTTAAACTACTCGTTTTCTCAAGGTAACTTTGCGGAGTTGAGTTTATAGATCTTTGATAAGTTCAACATCATTTTCTTTCTTATTTTTTAATTAATTAAATTACTCCATTTTAAATGGAATTATTAAACTTTTTTTTTTTTAATATCAAGTAGAGTAGTATATTGAAATTCGTTGATTAAAAAGTAATCTATAAATATATAGAAGAAGAATTGTTGAACAAATCGAGGGATACGTTATGTTTAGGAGTCTGTCTGTGAATAAATAAACAGATATAATAGTTTTAAATCCCGATAAAAACTTATATCCGCTCAGTGTAATACCTTGTTATAATACTCAGTATTTTTTATATTCTATTTTAGATTTTATAAGTGTATTATTATTTAATAGAAAACAGATACCCGCGTATAGTATACATATACATATATATATATATATATATATATTAAATATACTGAAAGAAGAAAAATAATACTCTCGCAAAATAAAGTATTATTATTACAAAATATATATATATCAAAGTCTTGATTTATTTTTATTATCCACTCATCAATTTCCCCTTCCGTAAAAATAATATAAAAATTATTAATCTGACGTAGTGCGATAAATTTATTACTTTTAATCGATTTATAAAGCTCGAGAGCTTAAAAAAAAATAGTTGTCAAGAAGAGCTTCCTTGATCAGACGTAAAAATTTATTATAAATAGTGTAATAACAATAGTGATGATGATAAAAGGATAAGGATAAATTTAAAAAAGCCAATGCAATAGTTGATAGTTGCGGTTTTTTTAATATATTTCATTAATGGTTTTACATTGAGATTATGTCTAGAGCCAGATGGTAAATAACAGTCTTTAAATGGTAATCGTATTGCACGAACAACCAGGAACCGAGTATAAAGGCATCTGCTGAGCCGTTCGCTTATCTTAGTTTTGTGAAAACCAAAGGGTCGTGCCAAACCACTCATGATTTCAAAGGTAAGTTAAAATACATATATCTATATATATATATATATATATATATATATATTTTTTTAATTTATATACTTACCACTACAACTTATACTCGCATTCATATAAAACTATATTAGTCAAAAGGAAAATGGTCTATTCATCATCAAAGTATCGCCGTCAACTTTGATCTGGTATTTGAAAGCGTAATTACAACACTATATTCAACGAGTACGCATTAATTAAATTTTCCTACTTTGCGTAGCACTGGTGATTTTAAACTCCTCAATAAGTATAAAATAATTAAAACCGTTAAAATGTTCTTCATCAGCTTAATAAAAATTAAATTAATTAAAAATTGAATCTACTGAAAATGAAAATAAATGTCCGGGATATTACAATATTTTGTGTACCTCATGTCATACTTATTGTCAATCATCCAGAGAGGATCCAATTAAAATCTGATAATTAACTATGCATGAACGGTTAATAATTCACCGATAAATTTATTCCATGATGGGCATAAATTGTTTTAATTACCATACCGGGAACTACTCATCTAGTAATCTAGTAATCTAGTAATCTAGTAATCTAACCATTGACTATTTACAATAAATCTTAATGATTATGACGTTATTGTATTACAGAGCTTAATTGTCCTCGGTATAGTTTTGGTGCCGATTATTTTAAGTGTACCACAAGGACCCTCTTATCTACCGCCGAGTGGTGGACGACCAACTGGTGGTGGTGGTGGTAATGGACATCCTGATGATTGGGCTGGGGTAATTATTTATTTTATTCTATAATAAAATTTTCACACATTTTATTATTTAGCAAAACAATAGAATAAACAAAACATTAAAAATGTGCGCGTGTTAAAATGTTTAAATGTTTGTTGATTTAAAAATTTAAGGACCCAGTGAATTATGAATATTCATACGAGGTTCAGGATGCGGGACTTGGTGTGGATTTCGGACACCGTGAAATGCGAAAAGAGGATGAAGCCAAGGGAAGTTATCATGTTCTACTTCCAGATGGGAGAACACAATTTGTAGATTATGTCGCCGACGCTGCTGGGTATCGACCTGTGATACGGTACGAAGGAACCGCGACATACCCGGCACCTGGACCCTCTGGAAATGACGACGGCTACAAATATTGATACCCACTACCACTACCAATAACAGTTACAGTAACAGTACCAGCCATATAAGATAATCCGTTTCCGAATACCAATACGTCATATCACTAAAATATATCCCGCAGTCTCTTCAGATTCTCATTTATCCTTTATTTCGGCTACTGTATTTTTTTAAACAAATTTATTTTTATAATTATTATAAATTTTTGATAACAATAGCAATAATAATAATAATAATAATAATAATAATAATAATAATGTTAATAATAATAATGATTAATGATAATAATAATAATGACTGAAGATGAATAATAAATAATTTAAAAATTGTATAATCAAGATGAGCTTATATATACATAAACGTTTTTAAATTTAATTCAATATCTGTAGAATGAATTTTATTTTATTTTATATTTCGAACATAAAATGGAATATACCCTCTGAGTGATGTAAAAATTTAAATTCACCTTCAAATATATATATATTCAATATGTATTTCAACTGATATATGGTATTCCAATATTTAAATGCAATATAATATTAAATAATAACAATGATAATTATTGGTACATCAGTTAAATTAAATACAGATTCGAAAATTGAAATAAAATATTCGGATAACAATGAAACTACCGAGGTAAACATATTACCAGATTAATTCCCACATCCATAAATATTGATCTGGTGAATATAACAATAAACAATGAATAATAATCTTGTTGTTATTTGCAATAAAAATTTCAAGTAAATAAATAAATAAATTTTCAAAAATACTTATAGTTGTTATTTATTTTATTAATATAATTGATTTTATATCGAGGACAATAAACCGAGGATATCCTGTGTATAGTAATAGTAGTAATAGAAAAGTACCACCTAGTTCACTCGGGGGCTTCGTGATCAGTGCAAAACCCATTAGAGCTACTGTTGACATTTCCCAGCTGTATATATATATATATATATATATTTGAATTATTAATGATATCAGTGGAGAATCGGTTGAGTGTCAGTTATACACTCACGCGATATATACTATTATAAATATATGATGATAATAATAATAATAATACCGTAACAATTAAGTCAACAGGAAGTATTAATGGTAATAAGTAGTAGTACCAGCAGTACATTCAACGAGTAAAGTTATTATTTATACCGCAGCAGTTATGACTTCTCACAAACCACGAAATTTAATTAAAGAGAGTTGGTCATCTCTTTGCATGACCGGCATCGTTGGTACAGATAAATCTATATTTTTCTAACTATATAGTAGTAATTAAATAAATATAATTAAAATTAAAAATTTCAGGACTTCGTCTAATAGAATTATGTAAAACAAAATTATTTGGATACATTTATGTTATTGGAATATTGATATTATACTACACGTTGATATATTTCACCAAAGAAGAGGCTGATAAAGTATACGAGTACTTGGATATGACAACTATATGTGTAGCTAAGATACGACAAATTGAATATTACGTTAATGTGATGGTATTAGGTCTTATGTTAATAACGAGTGGATTTAAATTCAATTTGGGGACCATCGGTGTGTACTCTAATTTGAATGAGATTGACAAGAAGCTAAAATTGTTGAACCAAAAATTAAATTATGACAAATACATGAGAGATAATATTTTAAATATCACCGGAGTCGTTATTTCAACTATTTTAATAGGATTAACCGATTATTCAAGTATTAAAAATGCAGCAAGTAATATAACGATGTTTAATTTGATGTGGTTTGGAAATCAATTTCCTCAAATAGTTAACAGCATTGCAACAGCTACTTTTGTTACAATAATAGCGAGCTGTTGTACAAGACAACAAATTATTAATGATTTAATTTTTAAATTGAGAAATATCGACAAAGAAAGTTATAATACTGATGTTATTTCACAAGAAATGCATAATGGTAATAACAATAATAAAAACAATAATAATTTTAATATTAATAATAATGATGATAATATTTTTGATAGGTTTAAAATTAAAGCTTTTGCGTAAAATATTTGAAATTCTTAGTAACACAGTGATAATAATAAATGAAGCGTATGGATTTATGTTAATTTTAACATTTATAACTCATTTCATCGGCATCTCGGCACATCTTTATATAGTCTACATGACATTTGGAGAGCAAAATTACATCGTAGATCTAATCGTTGAATTTTTATGGGCTTGCTTCTATTTTGGAAAACTAATTTACATAATATCTGCCTGTCACTCATTTAAACAAGAGGTAAATTTTACTTATTATTATTATTATCATCATCATTTCCAATAATTAACTCGTAATCATCCTAGCGATATAACGACAATAGTTATAATCAGCATTATTAATTAAAATAATTAGCGCAAGTAGGTTAAAATTGAAATAAATTAAATCAAGGGAGATAATGGATAATGCCTGATAAATTAAATGAATAGTGAATATATATATATATAAAGAGAGAGATATGAGAAATATATATATATATCAAAACCGATAACTTATAAAATTCCGGTACGGTGTTTATCTCTATTCTCTTTTAATTTTTTTTTCTTTATTTTTTGTTTAATCTGTCTCTGAGGATGAATACGGTTTGCTCATTCGCGAGCCATATAACTTTATCTCTCTTTAATTCTACTGTCACCACAAAATCTATTAACCCTCGAGAGCTGTCTGCCAGTAGATTGTAAACCGTCTATTCACACAGACACTGGGCACACTGAACAGACCGCCGATCAGACTGAGCAATACAAATGTACGAACTACACTCCTAGGTATAAAGTAATAGACCACGCAGTGACAATTGTGTGAAATTATTCGCTTGGTCAAAGCTTTGACTCCTTTGTAGCCTACGGCTCATACAATCAGCATCACACACATGAACAAAACTATACACTGAGTATCATCATCATCAAAACTTGGGCAATTACACGACATTCACTTTGTCATGTATAATATATAATATATAATATATAATAAGTAATAAAATAAAATAATAGTGTCTGTGAAACATACAGGGAAAGCGTGCCAGTAAGCTGCTACACGAATGCCGAATCGACTCGGATCATAATTTGCTTAAGCAAGAGGTTCGTTGGTGCATCAATTTTATTATCATTTTTGTAGTACAGTTATTGCTGTGATTTTTATTTTTTTTTTATTTTTATTTTTTTTTTTTTTTTTTTTTTTTTTTATTATATAGTACATTGTTATCCAAGTACAATTGTTTCTCACCGCGAGGATCATTATTTATCATCAATCGTTTTTACATATATACATATACACATATTTATTTTTATTATTATTATTATAGTAATTTTAAAAACTCAGCAGGTAATATTATTGCAATGGCATTCCAACTATTTTTATTGCCCTATCTTGTATCTCACGTTTCATTTCATTTCAGACTGAATCATTTGCAAGACAAGTAAGAAACGTCGATATTAAAATAACTGCAAGCAATTTATTCACCATTGATTATCCAGCCCTCTGGAAGGTCATTATTTTAAATAAATAATTATAATTTTTTCGAATAATTAATAATAATAATATTTTTTTTTTTTTCTAATTAAATAGATTGTCCTCGGTCAGACAGCCTACGTCTTCTTCCTGTCGCAATTCACCAGCACCAAATGAGGATAGACTAACACTAAACGTCGAGAACAACAATGATTAAATAATCGCCAACAGTCCAACACTATTATAGTATACCGTCCTATTGGTGTTTATGTTGTTGATGATGTTGTTACCATGTTGACGGTTATTTCTTGAATATAATAATAAGCAAACAAAAGTTTTCGTCTAGTCACACAGATTAATCCTTATCTTCACAGCTAAACACAATACTACTATATGTGTATAGAAGAGAATATTACAATATACAATACAAAGATTATATTATATTCATCAGCGAGGTATAATAAGGACATAACATGATGACAACTAACTCACTTACGCTCTATTATACGTATTCACTATCACTAATATTTAATAACAATTACTATTACTCTTTGACAAATTTATTCTTGACTTAGATTAATATTGTATTGCTGTAATAAAATTGTGCAATCGAGTGTTATTTAAGCTCTTAAATTTTAACTTTTTTTGTTAAAATTTATTTAACCATTATCCAAAAAGATAAATTTAGATTTTGGAATTTAATTTAACACTGTAAAGAAACAATTTAATACCAAGAGTATTTATCCGGTTCAGAGAACCTGATGACCCTCTTCTTCTTTATTATCTCAAAGTTTTTCTTTTTCTTCTTCTTCTTCTTCTTCTTTTACTTTTTTTTTCTTTTGTTCTTTTATTTTTAATCTTTTTGTTGTTGTTTGAAATACAATTTGTGTCTTCTTTCTTACGCATTTACTCCAAAAGAAATAACGCTCTGGTGGCACGCAACAACCTCTCTAATTTCCTCTCTATATACTTTTATACATATATATATCAGTTACTTTTTGGGGATATACAAAACTGGAAAATAAGTTTGTACTTGCTGGGTGAGTGTGATACACTTATATAATTATTTTTTGGTACTTTATTTTACGACTTTTAGGAAAGGATTTATCTCAAGCTTTTTGCGCCAAGAAATATCGGATAAATGTACATATATATAAACGAAAAGTGGAGTTTGTGTGGAGGACAAGCGACAGCGGCAAGCCATCAAAAGAGTCGACTTCTTCAACGAGCTCTCCTCACGAGAGATAAGAGATCTTTAACTAATAGCTCACTCTTTGCGTAATGGACACTCTTATTCTTAACTTTTTACTCTCTTTTCTTCCTTCTTTCTTTCTTTCTTTCTATCTTTATTCTTTATTCTTCATTCTTTATGCTTACTTTTCACCCACAAAATAAAATAAACCAGAATATATACTCTCATTCCCGAGATTAAATAAAAATAAAAAAGAGTTAGGAGTTGTACTTAAAATATTTGAACTTTGCCAGGTATACATTTGGTATTGAATACACATTTATAATCAATAATTGTGTAGTTATGTATATTTAACGAACAAAATTACCATAAATGTCATTTTTTTTCTCCAATAATACTGCAGGTGAATTTGAAATATTTAAATTACTGTATAATTTAACAAGATAAATATTAAACATCAGTATAACTAATATTATATTATTGGAAACAAGTAGTAATCAATTAGTATTAATTTAATTATAAATATATCTATTCATAAACCCAATCTGTTTTATTATATACATATACCATTTCATTGACCCGACAGCCTGATAAGTTATTAAAGTTTCTAAATTAGTCGACAATTATTTTAATTGGAGAAATACAATTACAAAAGTTTTGAATTTAATTATTGGAATTCAAATTGATTAATATAATAATAATAATAATAATAATAATAATAATAATATTTGTGTATAAATTCGATTTAAAAAAAATAATTTTGTAGAATTGTTAATAATTAAGCAATTATAATTATTACAACAAGATGATGATGATGATGATGATGATGATAATAAAAATGAAAGTAAGTGTGGTTTGAATGAATAATAAGCCAAAGTTATGACCGAGTAAGTGAAAGAGTAGTAAATGAATAGATCTATATTAATGGTTCTAATTTATCTGTAAAAAGGTATGTAAAGCCAATCCCACGCAGGAGAATTAGCAGAAGCAAAAGCATCATCGTCATCACCATTAACATCATCACCAACAGCATCAATATGAAGATTGGTGAGCCAGCCTCTACTCTCTCATCTCTTTGTACAATCCGTATCATCATCATCATCATCATCATCATCATTACATGTATGGTATAGGTACTTTCGTATATAAATAGTGATATAGATATGAATGTGTGTATAGAATTTCTTGAGCGTCGGCGAGAAGCGCGTTTGTGTATTGCGCAATTTAAGAGCAAAGGGAACGGCTCTCTGGAGCATCAAACGAGCAACCAACCAAGTATGGATGCTGCGGCTGAGACTACAGAGGATAGAAAGATTCTAAACAATAATAATAATAATAAAAGTAAAATAGTTTATTATGTAACAAATAATAAGTATTGTAGGGGAGCATCTACCATCTCAGGATTTTATATCGCGTATCAAATCAAATCCAATCAAACCCCTTTTTATTATTGAATTATTCTAAATAATTTAACCGATTCACCTTTTAATTTATTCTCTTTATCGATACTCTCATGATATTCCCCGATAAATTCAAGCCTGATAATCTCGATTTATTTTATTTAAAGTCTTCAATGCAGGGGTTGAATAAAAAAATAATAAATAAAAATCACTTTTATTATTTTTATCAGCAACTAATTCAAGAAATTCATGATAAAACTATAATCATGATAATAATAATAATAATAGAAAAAAATGAATGAAAATATTTTAAAGAAATCAAAGTGGCTCATTAAATTCCTGTCAGAATTGAATATCGTTATTGAAAAGAGGACTTTTAAATATAGGTAATGCCGAGACTGGGATTGGAATAAAAATTTTTTTAAGTGGCCCTTGATGCAAATATTTTTTCTTAAGACCGTCTAATTAAAAGCAACGGTTATTCGTCTCTAAGATATCGACAATTGAATTTACTTTTTTATTTTTTTAACAATCACCTCTCGCTCTTGTAAAGTATTGATAATTATTATAAACTTTATATAAATTGTAATATTTCTTGGGTATTAAAAGTAAGGCTATAGCTTTACCAAATAATCTTTTAAAGGACATTTAAAAGTTTGCAACAACGACAGTAAAAATAGATGGAGAATATAAATATAAAATCCATAGCCCTTTCAACCTCAAACCAACTACCGACACTATGCAATTACTTGAATTTAATGAATCTAGTTATTTGGAACGCCAACCAATTGCTCGGAAACTTTGAGATTGAAAAAAGAAATAATAAAAAAATAATAATGAGACGCATTTATATTTAACAGTTGAATTGAATTGTTGATTGAAGGTAGGTGGTTGGAAAACAATAAAATAGGTTTTGATGGTGGAGTGTGGTGGTATGAGTACAAATTGACAAATGATTTACGAGAGCCGATAGGGGAAAATGTCATGTGGAAGCGATCGTCACGCATTGCGCGGTTCACTTGATATACCGCAAAAACCCAGAAGCCTTCTGTACCAAAACCGAGGACAGGACCACCAGCTATATCTACATATGTATTTACACACTCTACTGCTTATTTTATACATTAATTTGTAGATGTATAACTAAACTACATCAGTACAACCGGTATAAGCTGGTAAACTGGTAAACTGGTAAACTGGTAGTACAATAGTATAGTAGGACGATGTAGATAGATGTAGATACAATCTGAATTCATGGCCCGCAACATATTAAGCTTGTCCCCATGCCGCTACTGTGAAATGAATTCATAACGATTTATATACCCCTAGCTTGAGCAACACACCCCCTAACACAAATTATTCATCCCTTTTCCCTTTTCCATTTTCCATTTTCCATTTTACTCTCTGTATAGTAACCGACAGAAACATGTAACAACCATTTCACCTCTCGACAATCACAGCTAAATATATTAACACTTGTACTCGATACCACTTTTATACCAATTATTTTTTTGTTTTTTTATTTTAATCATAAAATATATATATATATATATATATATTTTTATTTGTGATTCAATTTGTGATTTCACTCTCCAGTAGAAAATACAAATTTGCTCAATCAACTTTAATAAATGCCATTAAACTCGTTGGACGGTATCCAAACCGCGTGCATACAGTTAAAAAAAAAATAAAATAAAAATCGATACAATAAATTTTCCAGTTGTTTTCAAAGAAATCATCCAAATAATAACAGTAAAGTTATTAAGATTATAAATAAACTATTAATTGAAGATAATCACGAGAGCCATTGAGTAATGAATTATATTAATAACCCAATTATTTGTAATGTAGCCATGACAGTAATCGAGAAGCGCAATTTAATATATATATATATCCAGCTGTTTAAAAGTTATGGTTATTGAAAAGGTAGGTGGTTGGAAAACAATAAAATAGGTTTTGATGGTGGAGTGTGGTGGTATGAGTACAAATTGACAAATGATTTACGAGAGCCGATAGGGGAAAATGTCATGTGGAAGCGATCGTCACGCATTGCGCGGTTCACTTGATATACCGCAAAAACCCAGAAGCCTTCTGTACCAAAACCGAGGACAGGACCACCAGCTATATCTACATATGTATTTACACACTCTACTGCTTATTTTATACATTAATTTGTAGATGTATAACTAAACTACATCAGTACAACCGGTATAAGCTGGTAAACTGGTAAACTGGTAAACTGGTAGTACAATAGTATAGTAGGACGATGTAGATAGATGTAGATACAATCTGAATTCATGGCCCGCAACATATTAAGCTTGTCCCCATGCCGCTACTGTGAAATGAATTCATAACGATTTATATACCCCTAGCTTGAGCAACACACCCCCTAACACAAATTATTCATCCCTTTTCCCTTTTCCATTTTCCATTTTCCATTTTACTCTCTGTATAGTAACCGACAGAAACATGTAACAACCATTTCACCTCTCGACAATCACAGCTAAATATATTAACACTTGTACTCGATACCACTTTTATACCAATTATTTTTTTGTTTTTTTATTTTAATCATAAAATATATATATATATATATATATTTTTATTTGTGATTCAATTTGTGATTTCACTCTCCAGTAGAAAATACAAATTTGCTCAATCAACTTTAATAAATGCCATTAAACTCGTTGGACGGTATCCAAACCGCGTGCATACAGTTAAAAAAAAAATAAAATAAAAATCGATACAATAAATTTTCCAGTTGTTTTCAAAGAAATCATCCAAATAATAACAGTAAAGTTATTAAGATTATAAATAAACTATTAATTGAAGATAATCACGAGAGCCATTGAGTAATGAATTATATTAATAACCCAATTATTTGTAATGTAGCCATGACAGTAATCGAGAAGCGCAATTTAATATATATATATATCCAGCTGTTTAAAAGTTATGGTTATTGAATAAACTGATGTAATTTATGTCAATGGTAATAATTAATAATGATGTTAATGATTAATTTATAGAATATATGAAAAAAAATGGATGGGTGGGGTGTACAACTTAGAAAAGTAGTTGTTAAATTGATCCGGCGTACGCGGAAAATAAAGCGTGTAATGAATTAACCAAGGAAACAACGAGCTCGTGCCGTAAAATATCGATACACCCCAGGTAAACTGACACGGTAATTTATTATCTGATCCGAAGGTATATACAGGCTTAAATGCTTCTGTAATACCTTCAGCTCTCGGTTAAATTTAATCTAATGTCTGTATATAGTTGTCAGTTTAGTGGGAGCTCTATGTACTTTTTGATGGGTTCCTTGGGGCCACTGCACGGGTTACTCGAGATCGATTAACGACGGTGTCTCAATTTTATAGCGAGCTTTTGAATAAAAAATGTTTAAATGGATAAAAAGGATAAAAAGATTATATAGATATGCGGTATTGCGCATAAAATAAATGAAATATAATACATCTCGCGGTCTTTTAATAGAAGCTACTTATATATGTATATAGATAAACTATAGCTATAACTAGCGGGAGATGAATGCGTGCGTAACGATGATTATATGAATAAGATATGAAGGTAGAATCATCCCCGAAAGAGCCACTCGCACTTGTACACACTTTCACAGACATATATATCTATGAAAATGGACAAGTTGATGCACCGGGTAACTATACAAATATACAAATATACAAATATACAAATATATATATATACAAGTATATAATACTATGGCGGTCCCGTTGTGTAAGATAAACTGTAAGTAAATTGGTGGCGCAATGGCCTTGCTCGTGATGTTACATATTGGAGAATGGAGGAGTATCATCCTCCGGGGCTACTCTCGCGAAAGTATATAACCCGTCCAAAGAAGATGCTTCCTCGCACTCTGCACCATACTCATCAAACCATCCATAACAACACACATAATACACATTAATAAGTTTTAACTTTAACTAAACTATTTTATTAATTATAAACAGCAAGTTGTGTTCAAAGTTGTTCAAGTTTTTTTTTTTTTTTTTATATTTATCGCGAGGTAAGTTCTCAAAAGCTTTTTTCATATTTAGCTTTCAAACTTTTTATAAACATTTATTCTCAAACTTTTTCCCAACCACCAACCATCATCCACTTGGTTTCCTCTATTTATTTTGTTTATACACGCAAAATGTCACCGAGATTTATAAATTAATACTCATTATAAATTATTAATTAACTTGTAACTCGAAAATTTTTAAATTAAAATTATTAATTTTCTCGGTTGAAAACTTTTGTGATTAAATAAAAATTTAGCCCGTGCTGGTAATTAAAACATTTACACGGCAAAAATAAATTTATAATTAATTGAAATAAAAATGGAAAATATATAATGGTAATAAAAGTATATGAATGAGGATAAGTAATTCGAGAAAATTAGTAAGTATTCATATATATATTAAAGAATTAACGTATACGCGGTGTTTATTAAACCATAGATTTTAATCGGATTAGAAAGACACTCGTAATTTAGTATGATAGGTATATGAATTACGCAATAATAACCGCAAGTCTACGCGTACAGAAATAAATATTAATATTTAATATTGAAAATAATAATAATAATAATCAACATACTCAGCAAAGCTCATCTTCTTCTACAAATGAGTACTCGATGATTGAGTACAGAGAATACCGAGCATCATCGCCAATAACCGCATCATAAATGTGCGTGATCTTATTACGCAAATTCGCGTTACCCTATTGCGTTATTACTCCTGAGAGCTCGATAATTTAACTCTGATCCTCCGAACGCGCAATTAATAATATTTTATCATTATTATATTACTATTCATACATTCATTTGCTAAAATAATAATAATAATAATAATAATAATAATAATAATAATAATCCATCTGTCATATACGTTTACTCGAGTTTTGTTCAAAAGATATGGACATGTATATATATATATATGACATGACGTCATAAAACTTTTATTATTTCATTTACCACAAAACAATAATGTAATATAACAAAACAATTATTATATTTATTATTGTTATTGAAAGGTATTGAAGTAATACCTGTACGTATGATGATGAGATGACCAAAGTTACTACACAAGTTAGAGAGTGACATTTATTATACAAAGATGAATGTAATAATAATAATAATAAATTCAAAACCCTGGATTATGCAGCATAGCACGTACATGGGTTGCATTTGTTCCAGAATGGGAAAGTTAATTATTATCAGATGGTAGTATAGCAGACAGTGACGCCGGTGAATCTTCAGAGCTCTTCCGTAACCTAATTTCATCTACAACTAAAACAACTAAACGTTATACATACTAATATAATTGAATATAATAGGTAATAGAGAAAGAGATAGCGAGAAATAACAGAATTGACCAACTGACTGAATTACTCATCCGCTAGATTATCCAACAGCATCGTCAATCTATTGAGAAATCCGTTAAAAATGATATACTTTTATAAAGTTCATTTAACATCAGGGGAATAATTTTTTACAGATAAAAAGATGCTGAAATTAACCGCGCTGACAGTGTTACTTGCGACGATAGTGATAGCCAAACCGGAACCCCCGGTGCTTGGGGGCCAGTACCTTCCGCCTAATCAGCAGTATGGTCCACCACAGAGAAACAACAACGGATTTGGTGGGAACGCAGGACCTAATGGAGGAGGATTCGGAAGTAATCAATACCTCCCGCCAAATCAGCAATACGGAGCACCAGGGGGAAACTCTGGTATCTCTGGTAACTCTGGTAACTCTGGTAATTCCGGATACAATGACGGTTACAGTGATGTAAGTAATTATTATTATTAATAATTATTGTTTTTTATTATTATAATTGAATTTTATTAAAATTAGACTCCAGCCAAGTACGAATTCGAGTACATGGTAAATGACATAGAGAGTGGTAATGACTTTGGTCACAAGGAGAGCCGTGACGGTGAGGTGACACGCGGCGTTTACTACGTTCTTTTACCTGACGGCAGACGTCAAACTGTGGAGTACATTGCCGACGAGAATGGGTACAGACCAGTCGTCACTTACATGCAAGAAGGCAATGGCGCTGGAAATGGTTACCGAAACGAGGGACCTGGAAATGGTTACCCAACCGGAGGAAACAATGGTTATCGTTATTAGTCTTTCTCTATATACCGCCGTATACCCTATACCGTTTATACTCGTTTACTTTACATATACATACCTACCGGTTATACTCTTTGCTCCAGACAACACATAAACGTATACCCTATTGTTTGTCATGGTGAACCTGGACCATACGATTCGATTATACTCATTTAAATCCTTCTCTATGTACCGTCCGTTCCTTTCGCAAACATTTGCTGTTAAATCCTTTCCATCATCCTCTACTCATTCGATGGCCAATGATTGTTTTCTTTTTCATTTTTTTTTTCTTATTTTTCTAATACTATTACTGTTATAATTATTATTATTATTTTTTGCCATCAAATTCTACTGAATAGTGGGTTATATCAAAAAAGGGCTTACCGGTAATTAAATTATCGACAATAGTATTATTATTATTATCATCGTTGTTATTATTAATAATTATTATTATTAAATGAATAGATCTCTTTAAATTTGAATTCAGTTCGAACAATATTAATAATAATAATAATAATAATAATAATAATAATAATTGTCATTTACAGAATCAAAGCTCTTGGTCTTTTACACAATTACCATTGCCATATATATACACATACACGTTCACTCTGTCATATGCCAATTAGTCCTAATTAATAATAATGGTTGGCCACCTAGATTGATTATCATTTATCATATATATACTCGCTGTAAAATACTAGCTCAATATGTATATTCTGAATAATATCAAAATATATAATAATAATAATAATTGTTATTATTATTAAAAATGTAATAATATACATACATATATATATAAAAAAAAAATATTATTATAATAATCATTATACTCTGAATTTTATATATTTTATAAATGAATAAAATATGATATATATATATTTTGCATAAATACGTTTTATTATTTATTTTAATAAGTCTCCTCATAATCTCGCTAGAATATTTAATAATAAAAACACATATAAATATTATAAATATTAAATATTAAGTATTAACACACAAACCTCTGAGAGCTCTCAGTGCTCTCGGAGCTCGAAATTTAAATGAAAATAATGAGCTTTGAGCTGCAAGCTGAGATACCCAGTTTAATTTCGCTACTTTTAATTTATCAAACGAATATTCAAGTTCTGACAAAAAAAAAAAAAAAAAAAAAAAAAAAAAAAAAAATAGAAATAAAATAAAAAGTAAAAAGTAAAAAGCTCTTATTCATATATATACCTTTATAAGACTTTTATCATCGGCAGCGTGTGTAATGAAACTATAATAAACTCTGGAATGTATGTCCTTTGAATAAAAAAAATCCTACAATCTATTTTTTTGTCCCTTTAAATTTTTCATTGTTACACTAGTGACATTTATATAGATATATATGCGATCAAAGCACTCAGAACTTTCATCAACGGTTAACAATGAACTGGCATTTAAATATTGTGCTTTTATACAAAAAGCATTGTACGACCTAAATACCATAGACTATATGCTATGTAGTGTAGTGGACATTTGCATAAAGAATCAAGAATATTATTTTCATTTTAATAATTTTCATTTGTATCCCACGAATTTAACTTTATATTTCTCTGGATAACCACTTTTTTAGGATATAAATATTTATAAACTCAAAGCATTGTATAATGAGTATGCATTTGGCATATAAATTCTCAAAAATATAAATAAAAATGGCTAATTTTAATACCAGCGAAGAATTATTATGAATTAATTAGTTAATAGATCATACCTAGTATACAAAATTATAATATGTTACTATTTCAGAAGAGGTGAGATAATATAATGCATCAGATCTATTTTGCATCAACATTGTTATCTCATATCAGTGATATACTCTTTATATTTAGTACTGCCCTCGCACTAACGAATACAAATCCACCATCAGTGAACTAATTCAACGGCAGTTGAGTGTCTTTCTCTTGCCTCTTGCGGTGTAATATACGTAATATAATGATTTATGACTCCACCTTGATTTTGCATAAAATCATATTCCCCATTGTACATGGTTTATCAAACAATTTGTACTATGATGATAATAATAATAATAGGAATGGTAATAACGATTACTCACTGTCATATTTATTTATAATAAAAACAAATTTATTTTTAAAAAAATGCATTACAGACATTAGTTATCATATACACGTAACTAATAATTATGTAAAACACGTACACTGATATGATAAATTCTCGTAATATACTATTTGTATTATAATTTATAATTTATACATATATAAACAAAATGTATGGCTTATAATAACTGTTGAATTATATATAATATATGAGTTATTACTAATATTGATAACCAGGTGCCGGAGATTCCTCATAAGTTATCGTTGGTTTAAAGCCATCCTGATCGGCAGTGTAGTGAACAATCTGTTTACGTCCATCCGGTAACAAAACAGTGTAAACACCACGGGTTACTTTATTATCATCATTTTTAGTCTCTTTGTGACTAAAGTCATTACCATACTCATCGTTAACGTGATACTCAAATTCATAGTTGGCTAATGCCTGAAAAATAATAGCAAAATTATTATTATTATTATTATTATTATATTAGTATCGCTATCGTTAATTAGTATAGCTTAAAAGGGTTTTACCACCACACAACAGAATAAATTTGTATATTCAAGTATTGACTTTTGTCGATATAATATTTATCGTTAAGTGGAATAAAGTCTTTTTAGCCCGACACTTATTTATATTACTCAATAATTAAGTAATTAAGTATCGATTTTCACAGTGAGCTTTATCCATTAAAAGTTCTATCGTATATTTTATATATTAATTAAAGTCAAAAATAAAAGACTAAGACTATATTTAAACTCACTTTATGATTATTATCGTAACCGGAAAATGTTTCATCAGGGGAATAGTAATTTCCAGGTGGTTGATTTATGTTTCCACTGGCAAGAATGTTTGACTGACGTTCTGGTTGTCCACCAATAGCGGTAGAAGTACCAGTGTACTTATTATTCTGTGACAACAATGAGCTAGATAACTTGTTGGGCGTTAAATAGCTATTGGAGATGATGCCGGCTGATGTCGAAGAAGAAGAAGAAGAAGAAGAAGAAGAAGAAGTAAAAGAAGAAGAAGGGGGTGGGGATGATAGACCGATAGAGCCAGGAACAGCAACAGCAGAAGTGGATGATGGTTGATTGATTCTTCCGTGATATTGATTTTGCTTAGACACCACCGCTGATGCCAGATAGTTTGAGCTTGGAACAGACTGGATAAATCTGTCAGAATGTTTACTGGTAGATACAAGAGACATTGATGGTGGTAGATATTGAGAAGATAAAACAGCACTACCACTACCAAGAGTATTTCGGTTAGGCGTATGTAGCCGAGATGTCACTGTTGGTGAAGAGGACACTGTAGGAGTATTGGGAATCCCCAATGAGTTTGAAATACGATGATCCAGAGTTGATGTAATACCACCAGTAGCAGTAGTGCTAATGGTAGTAATGCTTTCTGGATTCTGGATACTGCTGAAAGGATTTTGTCGAGAAATAGACGGTTGGCTGGGTAAGTATTGTAACGAAGGGATTTCACCCACAACAGAAGTACCACCACTACTACTACTACTACTACTACTACTACTACTACTACTACTACTACTACTGTTAGGAATACCAGATAATGTTGATAATGATGATAATGATGATGATCTGATGTTACTTGTGGACAAGTACAGAGAATTCGGTATTACATTTTGAGATGGACTTTGGTAACTCGTTGGGAGATAATGGGATTCTGGTGTTAGCCCTTGGTTTGAAATACTACGGTGACTCGCTAGTTGTGAGGATAATGACGGTGGTAAATAACGATCTGATTGGCCCGTGGTCGAGTATCCTGATGGTGATCCTGATCCGAGTGGTGGTTTATAACCAGCTGGCTCCAAACTACCCAAAGTGACAGACGTCGCTATTGATAAAATAATTATCACCTATAAAAAAGTTTTATCATTATTTTTTAAAAGTTTTAAATAAAATAAAATAATTAAAAAACAAGGCTAAATGTGTATATAAAAATTTACTCTCGATTAACCCTTTTAACCGAATCGTTAAATCACCTTTTATTTATTGATCGAATTAGATTGTAGAGTTAATAAAAACGCGGCTCTTAATAATTGCTTCTACAGGATTTAGATTTCACATTTAAGTCAACCGCACACACCACCTACTTGTTTTATTTATTTTACCCTTAATATCTATAAACACACCTCCGATAATTAAGATAATAAATATTATTATAAAAAAAAGAAAATGAAAATGAAAATAAGAACTCTTACCTTCATGTTACTGCTGTGAGGATACAATTGAATTTGATTTTTAAATGATGGAATAATCAGCTTTTATATTCCCGGGTGTTTGTATTTATATTTCTATCAGTATTAGTATTAGTATTTTGTTTTGCATATAGCGCAAAAGTGAATGTTTTTAATGAGTGGCGGCGATTCTTCCTTCCTGATGAGGACCGTTTGTACTTGAGCAAGCGTTATTCATCTTTCACAGATGAGCAATGATGATGATGATGACCCTCGTTTCTATTAAAATCGCCCGGGTTTAAATTCTTTCATAATTTCTTACCCGACAATAAACTGTAACATCGGGAGCAAGGCCACAATAATAATAATGAATAATTTTCACTGGAAGGAACAATCATCAGTTTGTATTAATATTTATTTTTAGTCATTCGTCTATTACTGGAGGGCATTAGACGCCAGACGGTACTCTCACTCTTAGTGATATATATATATATATCTATAGAAATTCGATAGAAAATAGAGCAATAATTATTATTAATGTATTTCTCCTGTTGTTAGTTGTCGCAGTTTAATTTAGTTGAGCCTTTTAGCAATTTTGTAATTTAACTTCAAGGACTAAACTCTAGACACATTATTACAGAGAATAGTATAATATATCGTAGTAGTAATTCGGCAAACACTCGTCAGATATATATTATGTCTGACAGAAAGTAAACGCCCCAACTTATTCGACTTGAGACAATAATATCCTCGAGTGGTAAAGCCGTGCTGACTGATGAAAATTGTTTCGTAAAATATATTACCATTATTATTATCATTGTAATACATGAAATTGAATTAAAATAGTATATATTCAAAGCACTGGCAAGACTAACCGTACATCAACGTACATTTATCATACACTATACCTACTCTCTCATAATGATCAAATACATGTATGTTATATATATATATATATATATATGATATGCGGTTATAGAGGTATAAGATCAAAGACGATTTGGTGTTGCCTCAGGAATTCCTTTGTGAGCGGGAAACTGTAACAATCAAATCTCTCACTGTCAGGTTGACTGGTTGTCTGGCCTAAGTAAAGATGACCAACCTCTTTGTATTTATTTTATTCTTTTATTCTTTTTCTTCTTAATAATGGCACATCCATTTAACGGTAGAACAGTAATTTAATTAAACCTTTGTCTACAAATAAATTTATTACTTAGAGTGTTTAACCTTACACTCAATTTCATTAAGTTAAATTAAATCACCCGCATTTAGAAGAAAAAAAAAAAAAATAAAAAAATAATAGTTATTGTTAAAAGTAACAATGATTACCTGAATAAATATTTATAGAGTGTTGTTAAAAATATTAGCATACACCCGCTTAAAGATGATTCACCTAATAATATTCTCTAATGTTCTTATTAGCATAGATACGTAGGTCAAGATTGCTTTTACCCTTCATATCCACGCAAACTCTACAGTCTAGAGTCTACATCCTCCTCTTATTTTCGATGGATCGCATTACACTAGCGTGACCTCGTCTCTATAATAGGTCTATATATGTCTCGCGAATAGCCTCCCAGCGTTTTTGACCTCTCTACTCTCATCCACACATCCATTCGTATTATTCGTACTCGGCATTAACAGCCGGCCACTAGATTATGCATCGATGATAATGGATGTCGAAATTTCTTCTCCAGGTCAAACGTTATCGACCATTATTTTATATTATTTTTATTCTCTTTATTTCTTCTTTTATACATCGCTGACTTTTAATTAATAAATTGTTTTATCTGAATAATTCAATTTTAAATTGATAATTTATAATCTATGACTTTTGCACAAATAATCGAGAGAAAAAGTTTCAACGAGTAATTCAATTTTAAAAAAATAAAAAAAAGTGCCAAGACTTTAGCGAATTCAAGTCTTTCGTTGTTGAATGTCACTGAACAGTCGTTAAGACGCGATCAAACATCGATTTACGTCATTCGTATTCGTATTCGTCTATATATATATATATATATATGTAAAGATTCAAAAGACTGTTTTTCAAAACTCTCTCGATTTTAGCTTCGTCTTGAATTCAACAACTAGACGAATAAGAAGAAGAAGAAGAAGAAGAAAATATAATAATAATAATAATAATAATAATAATAATAACGATGATGGTTGAAAATAAGGTTAAAAGGAATAAAGGTATAGAGAGAGAGAGAGAGAGAGAGTATCGTGAATGTTGACAGATCGACAGAGCCACTAAAGTTTTCCGTAACCAAATTCTATTCGTAACAAACTTGCTAGTTTGGCTTTCAATTTGTCGGCTTTATTCGTCGGAAATGAACGATTAAAACTTTTTGGAGCTTGTTCATTGAATAGATTAACGTATACTACCTGCTACACCAGCTACCAGTTACCAACACCGCTCTTTTCAACCCTACTTTTTACATTCTCCCCAACTCTTTTCCGGTTCTTGACGTACTAAATAAAATAATTAACATGAGCTCAATTAAAAAAAATTAGATTCGTATTTAAATAATAATAATAATAATAATAGTTCAACAAGGTCTGATGAACTCAGCAAAGGTTAATAGAAATTGGAGAAGCTATTGAGTGAACAATCACCGTGGAGCCACTAAACGCTGCTCGATTATAATGATCGAGTAGAACATTGACATCTAAAGCAGATGTATATCTCGGTGGATTACAAGTCCGTAAACTACCACTAGATATAACAACAAAAACAAGAACATGACTCTAACTAGCAATAGAGATATAGAGAGAGATAAGTGTAGATGTCTTTGGAACTATTTGGATATTCTGTTAAACAGAGCATCGGATCCTTATCTCTCTGGGGATAATCGTCGTTGAGCTTTTGTTTTAATCTATCGTTACAAGTTTATAGTTGTAGTTGGATGGATTTTGGTAAAGTTGGAACTCGGTGATTCAAAGTCCTAAATCTCTATTGATAGTGTCCATCAGTGCAGATAATATATATTACATATTACATATTACATATTACATATTACATATAACTAACTCTATCTGTTTAATTGAGGAAACTAAATAGTTAACCAGGAGATCTATTCAGTACATTAAGACCTGGTAGAACAACTAAATTACTCATCTATTATAAGTTATAATATATGTTAGCTGGTAGGTTGGTTACTTTGATGTGTGTCCGTTGGTTGCATTTAAATAGCTGACACTGCACTGGAGAGTAACTCCCACACTCTGACATTATATTATGTACTGTGTTGAACAGTTCAGAGGAGTTCACAGCAGTTCAGAGTTTACTGATATCAGATCTGACCTGCTCTTGCTTAACTCTTCCCTTGGTTCCCTTGGTTCCCTCATTCTCCTGGTTCTCATATAACTGCTGTTACTGCTACTACTGCTGGTCTAGATCACGTCTACTAATATTTCATGTTATGATACTTAAGAATTTAATTTACCGAAAAGACTCTCTGGGCTCTGAGCTCTGGGTTTTATCAACCGGAAAAAAATTTATTCGATGGATTTTAAATCCCCCATGCTTCATTAATTATTAATATTAAAATTTACTGTACACTAAAATATCGTAATAATTTAAACCTGATAATTATTTATCATTCATTTAATTACGTAAAAGACCTTGTGACTCTGCTCATTCATCACATCAATTCAATTTTATTACAATTAATTAATTGAAATAAAAATGATTGCGCGATATAAAGGATCTGATATTATTAATAGTGACTGTTCATCAAGGACTTTTCTCCGTTGTCTTTAATATATAAAAATAAAAATAAAATATGTGATTGAACGGACAATGGAACTATCTACCAACGATAAAGTAGAATTTATGCAATTAGCAATTACTCGATGCAGAAAATATATTTTTATGCATTTAAATTTAACCGAGTATTTCTTTGTTGTCTAAAAACGTAAAAATAACTTAAAAAGTTGGAGGAAAAAAAACTAAATAAATTTTATCTGATAATAAAACGATAAATAAATAGATAATAATAATAGAATGCCGTGATATGCTCGAGAGTGAGTTGGCAATAATAAACGAGTGATGTGAGGAAAAATATTTCTTGATACCTTAATCAAATGCATCCTGCTGTTCTCTCTCATATTATATAGCTTTATATCACACACATATTACGTTATACACATACTCGCCAGTGCAGTGTCATGTCGCGATCGATTCGCAGTTCTTTGCGCACAATATTCCGTCAACATTTATTCGCGAATTCTATTTTATCGTTTATTTAAAATTTAAAATATACATCCCCTTTTAGTCCTTTTTAATTTATTTGAATAATTATTCAAATGACGAATAAACTGTCGTGTTAAAAAATTAAATTAACGTAACGTTTCGTAACTGATGGTTAATGAATAAATATAATAATTGTCAACGGGCTTTAACTTTACCGTAAAACATGCGTTTAATTATTCAAGCGAATTCAATTTCTATAAATAAATAAAACAATTTACGAGAGTGATTTAACAACTGACGAGCTGTGAAAATTCACTGTTTAATTATATACTCTCTATTATACAATAAATATTCAAGTGCACTGGGTTATCAATAATAACTATTCTATTTAAATATTCATTATAATTATTCCTCATCCATTATATATAATATTAATTAATTAATTTTAAATAATTGTCAAATATTTAAGTTAAACGTCAGAGTAAATATGGTAACAAAGTTGTATATCAGTAGACTAAAGAGTCCGAAAAGTATTAATGGATTATTATTAAAAAAAAATTATGCAAGTATCGGGACTTGTCCCGTACAAAATGAGGAATTGTCGTGGGAAGAAGCAAAACCGTATAATGAAATTCCTGGTCCAAAATCTTATCCCATTTTTGGGAATTTATTTAAATTTTTACCCTACATAGGTATTTAATATTATTATTATTATTATTATTATTATTACTATGATAAAATTAAAAAGAATGTAAATAATTGATTGAAATAAAATTGATGAAAGGTGAATACGGAAATTTGCCGCTGTACGAACAAATGAAATTACTGAACAAACAGTACGGGAAGATTGTAAAGCTAGAAGGAGTGTTCGGGAGGAGACCCTCGGTATTTCTGTACGACCCAGAACAATGTGAAAAAATGTACCGTGTAGAGGGAGCCTGGCCGCTGAGAATAGCGATTGAAACAATGTGTACATACCGAGAGAGAAACTCAAAAGTTTACAAAGGAAAATTGGGACTTGTCGGCAGGTTAGTTTATAGCTTTTAATTAACAAAATCCCCCTCTCTCTCTCTCTCTCTCTCTCCCCCCCCTGAAAACCCTCATCCACGTCCATATTCTCATTCTCGTCCTCATCGGCATCGCAGCAACCGAGAACCAGAGAAATTGATTAAACTTTTTTTTTTTTTTTTTTTTCTATATACATACATAGATATATGTGTTAGTTAACTTTGTTTTTGTTTTTGCTTTTGGACTTGTAGCCAAGGTAAAGCCTGGCACGAGTTTAGGAAAAACGTGAATCAACATATGATGCAGCCGAGAAGCATCAAGCCCCACGTGGCACAAGTCGACCAAGTTGCCAACGACTTTATCACGAGAATACGAAAACTTCGAGATGTAAAAAGTTTTAAACTACCGGCAACATTCAACAACGAAATGAATAAGTGGGCTCTCGAGTGTAAGTGCCATGCTTCTACGCTTCTACGCTTCTACCTTCAAAAATTCACGATTACTTATTATTAATCATCCAAGACATTTACATTTAAAACATTTGTACATAAATTATCATTATTTCTTCACCACACAATATTTCTTCCTCTTCTACTTTCCTTTTTTAATTTTTTTACTTTTTTTTTTGTGACACTGTTTTCTTTTGTTCAAAAGATAACAATAATGACATTAACAACAATGAATACATTCATGTAAAACATCAAGTAGTATATCATATTTTCATTATGTTCCGAATACAATTATTATTTTGCTGAATTCTCTTTTGTATTATTAATTTATTCATCTGTTACTTGTCTCGCTAACGCTCACACTATTTTACAATAATCGCGATATGTTATATGGTGATGCTAATTACTATTATCATCATCATCATCATCATCAAGATTAATGCATATTGAACAATAAACATTGACAAAGTATACACACGTCTAAGTAACTTCCGTGCCAACGATTTGCATTATTTAACATTTAATATTTGTTTTTAAAAATAAGAAAATGAAACGAGTTCACTTTTAATAGCGTGCAATATAATGTACTATATAGTGTTACTAATGTAATAATCCCGTCGTCCTTGATTAAGATGAGTGTAAATGGGTATTAAGAAATAGTGTATGCCTATATATACTGCAGTATGTTTGGAATGTTAATTGCGATAATGTTGGTTCAGTATAATATTGTGTTGTAATGCAAACAATACGCACAGTGATGTTACTATATACAGTCGGAAGCTACTTAAGGAAGCTCATTCAAATTGACAGTGCGCAGTATTATTGTTATTATTATTATTATTATTATTATTATTGTAGTTGTTGTTGTTGTTACTCTACTTGCAATTAAACATAATCTCAATTAAGGCAACCACCTGGAGATTACAAGTTTGGGTTGCGGCTATTGGCTATGTACTCTACCTTAGTCTCTGTTTCATTTTATCCAATAGAATATATATATATATATATATATATATAAATAGGATTCCCCAAGGGTAACTCATTTACAATCCGTTTATATACCTATTATTGTATATTATTATACTTTAAAATGCATGTTGTTGTAACTTTGGGACAGAAATAAATTGTGAAATGTATAATTATTTTTTACAGCTATATGTATGATTGCGATGGATCATCGTTTAGGAAGTTTCGAGGACGGGTTAACAGCCGACTCAGAGCCACAGAGAATGATTGATGCAGTTCACAACATGTTTGAGCTCTTTTACCAGCTTGAAATTTTGCCCTCGTTGTGGAAAATTTATGACACGCCGAAACTCAAGAAGTTGTTTCAGACACTAGATGTTATTACCAGGTAAAATACCCAAAGATATATTAACACACTAATTTATTCATATAATACTATACCATCTGAAAGCTTTCAATTATTTATACAATAATAATAATAATTATTATTATTATTATTATAACAACAGCGATAATAACTTGTCGAATAAATTAAGTTGTTAAATTTACTTATATTATCCTCTACAATAAATATCAAGTGTAAATAATTAAATAAAACGCCGGATCGGTTTTAATTAAATTTTGGTATATCAAATTCAGAATTGCTTCGAAGCATATAGACGATGCTAAACTAAAGTTTGCCAAGTACCCAAAGAGCAATACAAACGAACGAAGCGTCCTGGAAAGTTTATTGAGTATCGACGAACAAACTGCTTATATTATGGCACTCGATATGTTAACTGCTGGAATTGACACGGTATGTTTATTATTAATTTTATTAATTTAATTCAATATTTATCCATTTTAATTTACTTTTAAGATGATGATAAATGATAACAATAAAAATTTTTGTTTTTCTTTTATGTATACCTTATATATAATAAGACTGGAAATGCCACGGGTTTATTATTGTATCATATCTCGATAAACCCTCAAGTACAGGAAAAGCTAAGAGAGGAAACATTAAATTTACTGCCCGATAAAACATCCCCTGTAACATTTGATGTTCTTAATAACATTCCCTACCTCAAGGCGTGTATCAAAGAATCACTTCGATTAGCACCGATTGCTATTGGCAATTTACGAACAATGCGTACCGATGTTGTTCTGGCTGGATACAAAATTCCTAAACAAGTATTTACTTTTTTTTTATATCCATTCTCATGTGAAATAACACTTTTTTAAAACTATTATTTCTTATTATTATTATTCTTTAGACTGATGTTGTAGCGTGTCACAGTGTACTTTCAATGGATCCTGAGCATTTTCCTCGGCCAGAAAAGTTTTTACCGGAAAGATGGCTGAGAAATAGCGATAATACAGATGTAAAAGCCAGCAAAGAGGCGCATCCGTTTGCTTACATGCCATTTGGTTTTGGCCCGCGTACGTGTATTGGAAGACGATTCGCTGAATTAGAAATGGAAACCCTAACGCTTAAGGTTATTTTATTACCAACCCAATGAATATTTAAATTATATTATCAGAAGATATCTCTTATTGATTTTCAATTTAATCCACAGATGTTGCAGAACTTTAAAATTGAATGGCCTTCTAACGAGCCTTTAAAAATAAAAAGCCGGTTTATAAATACAATGGATTCGCCTTTGCAATTAAAATTAATTGATATTTAAGAGGATGATAAGTTAAAAGTTTAACTCCCGTAGTATAAATAATTTACAAGATAAGATTAGTCTAAATAAATTGTATATTTTTATGAAAATAATTTATCTGATAAAATATTGAATTGTGCAATGTACAAAGTTCAACAACTAGGATATTATACTGGTTAATGTGTAAATATTAGTAAATATTAGAAAAAAAAAAAAAAAAAAAAAAACAAATAAATAATACTGTTGGTGATTAGAGTTTAGTATCATCAACATCACTGGAAATTTGTTTTTTATAGGTAAATGCCTGGTGAATAGCCCAAATAGACAAAGGTCTCATGTAACCAACAGATCGATATCCACCTTTTTCATAAAGTGCTTCAGGTGTTTGAAAAGCTAACCCTATTTGCTCCCAGACTGTTCGATATACTCCTTCTGCTGTACGTAAACCTTCCTCGACCATGTCCTTAAAAAATAAATTCATAAATATTTTGTATTTTACTAATATTTTAGCTAACACTGCTAAGTAACTAAGTAACTGTCACTAACAAGTAGAGTAGTCTGGTTTTATAATCAGACATTTATGGTAATTAATTAAAATACCTCGTGTATCATTAAAGCGGCAAGTGCATAACTAACACCAGTCCACATTTCCTCACTTTGGAGAGTCATCGTGTCGATACGACCACTCGGGAGAAATCCATTAACTGCTCCTTGATTACCATCTCTGTATTTTAAAACATTATTTTCGAATATTGTTTTTAAAGCCAATTTAACTTGCTTTTCCGGAAAAACCTATGTAAATTCATTTTTGTTTTTTGTTTTTTTTTTTTTTTTTTTTTTTTTAATATTTTACAATAATAAACATAAATAATCGACACGAACCTTGTGATTTAATTTACACGCTTGCAAAAATAATTGACCACAAAGCTGATCACTCATAATACAAAGTCGATGATCCGATTTGCAACAATCGAAATTATAGTAACTACCTATGATTTTTAAAAATTTAACGATTGAATAAAAAATAAAATTTATCAAGTTTGAGTAATAATAGTAATAATAAACTTGCCATTCCACAATTTATCCTGAAATGCATCCTTGCCTTTTTTTAATATCTCCGTGTACTTTTTAATAAATTGAGTATCATTAAATATTTTAGCAATTTCAAGAGAACAGCAAAGTGCGGCCAACCATAAACTTCCACAGTAAGCGCTAACATGGTAAACATTATTAAATAAGTATTTCTGTATTGAATCGTTTTAATGAACATGAGTGATGTCAGAATATATAGCGCTGCAATGTAATTTAACGCTACCCTAGTAATACAAAATGAAGCCCTAACTGTCATCCGTAAATCCATCGTACATGCTATATCGTAATATCGTAAGGGTGTAGTAGAAGGGAGCATACGTTCAATGTACGCGAATCAGATTGTCTGATCATGAAATCGGAGCTCGTGTAAAATAAAATTAATTTAATCTTCCCAAAATCTAATTTACGTATACTAAATAATTGCATTTTGATGGGGATTTAACTCTTTACCCATTTACCGATTAAAATTATGGCTTCATTGTGAGTATATATATTTTAAAATAGTTAATTACCTAGGGCCATTCATTACCCAAGTATCATACGTCTGATCTGGAAAACCACTATTCTCTATGAGACCATCCTGATCGGTATCCCAAGCGAGACTGTATTCTAAAACCTAATTAAATTGTCTGTAATGTATAATTTAATTATAAATTATTTAATAATTATTATTATTAAAATAAAATGATAAACCTCTTTGATAGACGGCCAAAAATCTTTCAACATATCCTGATTACCGGTTAAAATAAAATCCCTGTAGGTCGTTAGTATAAATTTCGAATTTAAATCCTTCCAGTTACATATATTATGAATAGGGTATGCGTTTATCATTTTAAATGGTTCTTCATCTACGAATATCAAATCAATAAACAAAATTTAAAAGTAATAATAATATACGAATAGAGAGATAAATAAAAATTAATAGGATAAAATATAATAATAATTTCAGACCAGGAGACACAAGAAGCAACAAGCAAATAATAATAATTAATGAAAAAAATGAAATTTCTTGACGTGTGAGAATGGGGTGAAATAGCTGAGTATCGCGAGTGCCTGGGTTTTATGTGTACGTGTATGTATTGTTATTGTATGTTTTGCTTTTGTGTGATTATTACTGAAGAGAAAAAAAATAAAAAAAAGGGTATAGTGTGAAAAATTATTAATCAATAAGCTTTGCCATTAATGATAATAAATTTTGTTACTACTCAATCATTATTATTACTATTACTATTGAAACACAAAATACACACACACACACATATAAACACACTATTCCCGTGTTACATAGATAACATATTGTAATAATAAAATTTTGAATGCTACGAATTACAGCTAAAGTCGACATTTAATACAGTTTTATTATTAATTATTTAAATAAATAAATATACAAACTCAAGAGAGTTAATAAAAGTAGACAAAAAATAAGTAAATATTGGATTCTTTTTTATTTCCAATCTATTTTGTATTGTAGTGATAACATTTTTTTCTCTTTTGTTTTTTTTTTTTTTTTTTTTTTTTTTTTTTTTTTTTTTTTTTTTTATTATTAATGAAAAGGTAAAATAAATAATTTTATTAATCAACTAATTTTATGATTATATTATATAATCGGTATCGATTATTATGATTATGAGAATTTATTATGTGTATGATTCGCGCTGACATTCCATAAATTTAATAGACATCAAGACAAGTCATTAATTTATCCATTTTATTCATCTATTATGTCATTAAATAATTAATTAACACTATATTATATATGAAAGACTCTTATTATAATTATTATTATTATTATTATTTCGTATACAAATATAGATATAATAATAATAATAATAATAAAGATAAATTTGTCAATGAATGCGCGGTATTATTTTTAAGTCCGTTGTCGTTATCGACTTATTCACACGTCATTCATTTAATTAAATTTTATATCTATAGATTAATTTAAAATAAATATACACTAATGTCTAATTAATCTTGTTTTAGCAAAAAAAATTTTTAAAAAGTGAAAAAAAAAAAAAAACATTGTATAATTAATTTTAGATCCTCATTTAATTGTTAAGTGTCCATTTTTTTTGTATAAACAATTTATAAATAAAAACTAGCCAATAAATGAAACATTATTAATTAATAATAATTAATTAAGTAAATCATGTTATTGTCATTACCGATGTTTCATGTTTTAAAAAATCACCAAGTAAAAAATAAAAAAAATAATAAAATATTAAAAAGGCGTAAATTTATCATTAATCATTTTTTTTAACATTTTAATTTTATAAACTCGCGAACGCTACTCTAATAACAACAGCCTTTTTAAACTATTATTTTATTAATAATAGGATAAAAATGTTTAAAAAACGTGCGGAGCACTGCCATGGAGCGACTCGCCGACGAAATTTAGATCTATTATATTAATTATTATCGTAATTATACATTTTAGAGCACTTATTAAATATAAATTGCATGTAATTGTAAGTCCAGGATTATTGATAAAAAAAATCAAGCTGAAAAGCTTTTAGATTGGTAGTTTATAAGAGTAATAATAATAATTATTAAAAATAAATGAGTAAATAAATAAAAGACTTCTCTTATTGTACCTCGTGTAGGACCCTGGAACAATTTATATTATAAAATAAATTAATAATAAAAAAGAAAAACATCCTAGCGCTGGATACGATAGATTTAGATACTTCACTTATGGCCTTAACATGCAGTTAACAAACAACAAACTAAATAATATACCAATTCACTATTATTTATTATTTATTATTATAATATAATTAAGTTATTATTTTTTAAGTAGCTTACAGTGAGACGAGGATGAGAAAGTGATCCTAGCTTTTTAATAAATTAAAAAAAATTATTTTCGTGCTCTGGTGGTGTCCGGTCTTGATAACTTATTAAATAATGATTCCGAGCACTCTTAGATAAATAACGCTATTTATATGTATTTAATAGTACTCGTAAGACAAAGGTAACTGCGATTCAATAAATAAATAAATAAATAAATAAATAAAATAATAATAATAATGATAATGATAAATGATTGTAATTATCGGAGTGAATATATTATGTACTGTAGTGAATGATTATTTAAAAAATAAATAATAATAAAAATAAATAAGCTTTATTAATATTTAGATAATAATTATAATGACAACCTCTGGATATAATATTATATAATAATAATAATAATTAAAATAAATAGGGAAGAGATAGATTGCGGATGATACGGTGACCTAATAATATCTAGAGTGACATAGAATTTAAGTAAGTTGTAGTAATAGTGGGAGGTAGGAGTGTCTAGACCTGCAGACTAATATATATATATATATATATTTTATTATAAAGGAATACTTGGTGGTATTCCCCGAGACGTGTTGGGGTGCAGGCGGTTGGTTACACTCAATACACACTCACCTACCAACAATACATTTATATAATATATAAGAGAGTAAGAGTACTGACATACATACACATTGAGACAAGCCGTTTATTCAACTTCTCTATACTTGTGAAACAGACTCTGTATTATCACATAATATAATAATTTAATAGCTTTAAAAGACAGAACCAGTCAACAACACCTATACAATAACAATAATAATATATAAAAGGGACTAAGTATAATAATAATAATAATAATAATAATAATAATAATAAGTGTGCGGATAAGAGAAGAGAGAAGAAAGAGGGAGTGATTGGCCCGACAGGTCGTTGTTATGTGTGTGCTCATGCTGATGGTGATACTCTTTGGATTACGTCACAGACAGCAGAAACAACTGGTTGCTGCTGCTGCTGCTGCTGCTGCTGGTACTGCTATTGCTGGTGCTGGTGCTGGTCGTCAGGAGGGTGGTGTGGGGGAGGGGAATCGGGAGTCTTCCAAAGGGGTTTCCCGGGGCTCGCGGGATGGAGTACGAGGTTCTCTGATGCTCTACTGGATGTAAAACAGAGAAAGAAGAATAGAGGAGCAGAGACCATCACTGAGAATGGAGATCCGCGGTGGAGTGCGGGTGATACTGCTGCTGCTGCTGCTGTGTACCAGACGGATGATATACAAAACACAAGGTCACGAGTAAGGCTTTTACTTGTATTTGTAGATATATAGAGTAGTATGTGGTATCTGTAAACATTGAGTGACGTAACACGTGCGACTTTCCTCTACATACCATCTACTATCAGCACATGTTGTTACTCTACATTCATATCAACATTATACTTTTACTCTAACCGGGTAGTTTATACTCACCAATTACCAATACATAATTAGACCATCTACGTCCTACTGCCCTTCATCTCTGTTAATATTTTTTAATTATTTATTACTATTAATTCTCATTAATCCGTAGTTTTTTATCATGCAAGATGATAATTAGTTAATAAATTAATATTTTATAAAAAGTTTAGACAGTAATATTTCTTATAATATTTTTGAAAGCTAAATATTCAGCTTCAAAAAGTAAATGTCATTTTAAAAACTTAATGAGGAGGGTTTTAAAAGCTTCAATCTGCCTTTAAGAAAAATTTCAAAGTATAAATAAGGTTTTTCACAAAATTCAAGGACGTTAATTTTTCATAGGACCGCCCGGGTCGGCTAATGCATTCCATTTACCAGGGTAAAGTCCAAACTTTACTCAAAAGATAGCTCTATAGGTATTATATAGATATAATGGTGTGAGCTGTCTGTAAATATACTTTGTAGTCTCTCCATTTCAAGTTATATCTTTTAGCTTAAACCTTATACCTGAGTTAGGTAGAGCAGTACAATATGCTGTGAAATACCCAAACCAGTCGCAGTCTACTGGATCCTTTGTACAGCCGAGGATTTATACCCTGGCTCGGAATACAAATATATTGTACCGATGGTCTTCTCTACTGTTAAAGTAGGTAGCAGGCAGCCTGCAATAGGATATAAGCTGTAAACGTTCCTCGAGGGTCAAAGTTTCTCTTTGTCCTTTCATTCGATAACACTGTACCGTGCTATGGGTATACTAGCTCGGCATTTTCAATTTTATTTTTATTTTTATATTTATAGTAGGCTTTGGGCCAGAGCGAGAGTTTCTCAGAGCTGTGCTTTGAACATTCTCTCCCTATATCTACTATTGCTTCCAAAATCCTTATCCATGTGCTCAGTATATAGCCTCAAGCTCACTAAAGTTAGTAGTAGTGCTTTTGCTTCTGCTGCTGATGATGATGATGATATTCACACCCGGCATTCTCTACACTCTATATTATGTACATATATATATATAAAACAGTGGGGTTGCTGGCTGTGGTGGTTCTCTTTTTCAGAATTTTTTCTCTTCCTCCCCTGGCATATAACGACACTGCGGGCTTTCAGAGCCAGAGCCAGGGGCGTAACAGGGCGTAGTTATTTTGTGGCGTACGTTCAACTAATACTCCTATCCAGCTTGTTATTTATTCCAACAAATATATTCGTTAGATGTTTAAATAGTTGCTGAGATCATCTTTAACATTGCTGATGTTGCTCAATTTTTTTTTTTTTTTAAATTATTTTCTCTAAAACATTTGTCGAGCTTTTATATAATTTAAAACTCTAAACAGGTACTGAAATTACTCGCTGTTTATTTTAATAAAAAATATGTCGTATTGAAAAAATTGAATTATTATTGCACCGGGTTGTATAAAAATAAAAAACGAGGTGATTTTTATTATTAGATGTAGATAGACAAAAGAATGGATGATGAATTATAAACTGGTATCGGCCGCAGAGCCAACAAGCAAACCAACCGGACAATAGATCGTTATTTCCGTGAATATAAAGCTAAAATAGTTCCTATCGATTTACGTCTACACAGTCTATACATACACATGTATATTTCTATTATCAGTTTATCAATATTTTATTTTAAAATTTCATCGGGTCTTTCTTCTTTAATTAAACAACCAGTAGTCTTTTCATACTACTTATTATATAAGTACAGTAATAAAATTTTAGTCAATTGTTTTACAGTACTTAATTATAGCATCGAGTATTTCTTAATAAAGTGTAATTGAATCGGTATGACTATGACAATAACAGTTCAATGACATTATTGCTATCAATGTACATCATACAGGTTGTTGAGAGGTATTAATACACTAGAAGAGGAAGGTAACGAATAAAGTTAAGTTGTGCTTACAACATATACATATATACTGTGAGCTGGTGATCGTACTGATACACACCGCACACCCCCACTAATAACATACGAGTGAGTATAAAATACATCAGCAGGAGTAACGTTGCACGTACCAAATGTATATGTATACAATACGAACCATTGACCACACCAGGGATATCGTCTGTCTCGGGATGAATGAACCGTTACGTCACGCACTTGCACTCTCAATGTCCCCGCGTTTCCTCTTCATCCTCTTTATCCTCCTCTTGAAACCACCGCCCCCTCTTCCTCTTCCTCATCCTCTCACTCTTTTTATTATACTGTCGTTTCTTCTCTTGTTCTGAAGAGAGTATCACTCTATCTATTTTTTTTTGTACATATATATATATATATATATATTATCTGTGCTGCTTTTAATCAACCTGATATAAGCACTTCTTGCCCTTCAATTTTGTTTTCCATTATTAAATTTATTCTTTCCATTTCAGGACTTTCGCCGTGTTAAACAATTCACGTTTGTATTGTTATCATCATTGGCGCGCGTACGTGAGTACGGTATTGCGTTTCTTTAATCGATTAACCGTACATCAGCTGGAGATAACACCAAAAACCCTAAGTACACTCGATAGGGGTCAACGTATTATTATAATATAATATTTATTTATGCCAGGATGTAAGTGTGTATTGTCATGCAGACAGCTAGTAGACTCACGCGATTATTTCACTCTGATAAAATATTTTTAAAGTCACGCTAAATATTTTTTTTTCTTCTATTTTTTTAATTTATGTTTTTAGATTTTTAATATCCGTTTGTTTTTAATCCAGTGTCGAATTAAATTGCTGGGATAATTTTTTATAATTTAAATTCAATTAAAAAGTAAAGAAAGAAAAAAAATTAGTAATTAAATAGAGTGAAAATTATTTTTTAAAAAATATTCTGTATTTACAAGATAATAAATCATTGTGATAAATGATTAATGTTATAAGGCTGGCGATAATTTAGATAAAGTATATACGCATTAAAGAAAAAAAAAAAAAAAAAATAAAAAATAAAAAATAAAATAAACTAGGTCTCGACAATGGTCTCACGGGGCTCTCGGCCAATTTCTTTTAAATTCGGGTATAATTTAGCACGTGGTCCGTCGCTATTAACCCGACCATGGAACTCGGGTCGTCGATCTTTTGGCATACTTCGATACAGCCAAATATCCAACAGACTCTTTGATACGCTAATTTTTCGCTCTTGTTTTATTGCTGGAGTAGCTGTACAAGCAGGCGGTGACATTGGTGAGTCTGTTGTTGCCCGGATTACACTTGCACGTCCACCCGTTTCCTCTTTTCCAATTCTAATAACAAAAAAAATTTAATATTTAATATGTAAAAAATAATTATAATTATTATTAAAATAATAAATAAATAAATAAATACCCGTCTAATTTTTTAGTACCGGCATCAAGCTCAACTTTATCTTTATCGCTCTTGTTTCTAATTTCAAGAAGACAAATAAGGACTTCCATATGCATCTGAGAATTATCAGCATGTGCTTTTACAAATGTCTCAAGCTCTTCCCATAACAAACGATAATGCTCTTCTCGACGAATGGTACTTTTTCCGCCGCGTCCACCTCCAAGATTTGGAAGAGCCAAGCTCTCGTGCTTCGATTCCAATTGCAATAAATTGAACATCAATTTCTTGCATTTTATCAGATCGTCTTTCGTCATTTCCTCTTTTATCATCAGCTCTGGAAGTGGATCGATTATTTGCTTTAAATTGAACATCAGCGTACTTGAAATTGACATTGGCCAGTACCGCGTATGACGATCAAGTCTCGCTGCCTTCATTTTCGGAACCAATTCATCTTCTTGATTGGTGTTTGTGCGTTTCAACGGAGCCAACACATTGGCTCGCATCAAAGCACCAAAGTCAGTGATCCGGTAATCGGTGATACGTCCTCCGCAACCCTCACTGATTGACGGTGGGTCTTCGAGGACACTGCGCGCAGTTGACAGAGTGTGAATAAATATTTCTCCACCGTGAGACGCCAGCAAGTGTGATATTGTTTTGCCGCCGCTTTTCCGAATCATTTCCAGCATAACTGATCTACCGTTCAGCAAAAAGTTTATTAAACACGAAGAGGGACGACTATTTACGTCTACCGGAGTTATCCGGTGCATTGCTGTGCAGTTTTGCATCTCTGATGCACTGCAACCCCGAGGTGTACACCATTTTAATGTTACTGTTTCGTATTCTGATCCTTCTTCGAATCTACGAAATGTTTTTAATAATGCCGAATCCTGAGGGTTGCCTAAAAAATATTTTTTATTAATTATCTCTCTATTATTAAACAGTAAATTATAAAAAAATTTACTATAATTACTAATTACCATTTAAAATTGAAGAATGAGCATTAACTGAATGAAAAATTTCGACATCATAATTAGCTGAAGAACTTGCATTCTGCTCCTCTTTCATTGGGATCCCCGTTACTGTTGTACTCGATAAATCATAGTGTGACAAAATTAAATGAGATAATTTTGAGTGTAGAGCTGTTGCTTTCATAGAATGAACTTCCATGGTCAGTAGAGGTGACAACTTTAAAAAATAAATCAATTATAAATAATTAATTGAATTAATAATATTAGTTTGTCGCTAAATAATTACCTCTCTGGGGCTTTGGTTAGTCACTTGAGATTCAATAGTGGTGGGGAATATATTTAATATAACTAAATGACAATGATGTATTGGCATCAAACTGAAACAAAAATTTAATTAATTATAAATAATTAAAATCATTGTAAATAAAATTAAACTTACTGATCAGAACCCATTGCTATTTTATTTTGCTGAGTTAGTTGATTTAAAAAAATATTTTCTAAACTCTTCATATTGATGTCATCTCGCGCACTGGTTATACATACAATGCGTCCACGATTTAATAATTTATTATCATTTTTATTCAAGGATGTTCTTATAGAGTGCTGAATTTCTGAGCACTCGGTCAAAGCTTCTATCGCAACTCTCAGACCATGGATAACTGAGTAATCAACACCAGGCTGGTGATTTCGCGGTGGTATTCCAATTATCGCCATTCCATTCATTATCTATATTTAAAAGAAAAATTGAATTAAATATTTTTATTAATTAACAGTAAAATAAATTCTTACATGAGCTAAATTCTGCTGGGTAGGACTCCAAGTGTTGAGAATATGTGCTGCATGATCGCTCACCACAAATCTCACCTGCAATTCAGTGGTTTTTATTAATTTATAATAAAAAAATTTAATAATTTATATTCTGTTGAACATACCAGCTTTCCTGAAGGAAATAAATCCCAAACGATTCGACAATACTCCATAGAAGACTCGACACTTGTGGTCCATAGTGATTTACAAATTGGAGCTAAAGGTATATGATTGGGACCACGACTTTTTAAACACTCAAATTCCAAAGGACTGTCTGTTGAAATTCCAAAGTACGGAGTGTGATCCAATACAAATATTGTTTTATGATTTGCTGGGAACATTGTTTAATAATTTATCTGTAAAATAATAACAATTTATATTATTGACAGGCTTAACCTCAAAGTAAAAGAACATATGTATTTATACTTACTGATATTTATTTGTCACACAGATTAAAAATTAAACTGTCATTTTTTAATAAAATTTATATTAATTTTCAGTTGGAGCATTTTTATTAATGTAATAATTGATTTAAGATGACAGACAATAATGAAGCTGAATATTTGGAATAAACAGCCTGTGTATTTATACGTATTTTAATTTTAAAAAAAATCATCACACTCTATTTATTTATTTAGTCGAGTATAGTAATCTAGAGAAATAAACTCAACAGTAGCCTCCAAGCGGTAAGTTAAAATACCTGTAATAACACCAGACAGTAACAAAAATTTTATATACGTGTCAGTACTTGATGATGACTTCCGGTCAAATTATTATAAATATTTTTTATTATTATTATTATTATTATTATTATATTAAAAAAATAATATATTAATAATTTTTTATTTATTTTATTTTATTATTTTACGGACTAAAAAATTGTGAGAAGTAAAATTTTATTTGAGAAAGTGTTTTAAAAATAAGTCGACATTTTGACTATATTAGTCTCAAATGAACGTACAATTTAATCATTTCTCTTTTCGTTCGAGGATCTCTTGTAGCTTAACTCGAAGCAGGTTAGATTTTCTAATAATTTTAATAATCAATGATTTTATTGATGATTTATTGGATAAATCCTAGTCATTTAATATCGAATTACCTATTTAAATAATATAGATTAATTTTAGTTGGTTATTTTTCATAGGAAACTACTAAAAATTCAATCTATAAAGTCACCATGATGGAAGCACATGGCTATAATTTATTATATTTATTAATTTAACAAATTAATGGTGTTTATTCTCTTAAAAATTTTTGTTGTTATTTATAAAAATTATTTTTAATTTTTTAATTGTGAAAAAAAGCTAATTAAGAAGACGCCGGCTTATTAAATGTTATTTTTTTTTAGGTTAAGCGTTACGATGTCGGGTGGCTACGACGTTTTGAGCCTCAAGGAGGATGATATTACCAAGCTTATAGCTGCTGGAGCTCATCTTGGCAGTGAAAATGTCAATTACCAGATGGAGCAGTACATTTACAAGCGCCGTGTTGACAGTAATTATTATTTTTTTTTTTACTATTAAAAATATTTTATTTACCATCAATAATTTTTATTCTTGATTGATTTTAGGGATCTCCGTGATTAACTTGCGTCGCACCTGGGAGAAGATTTGCTTGGCCGCTCGAGCTATTGTCGCCATTGAACACCCAGCGGAGGTATTCGTCATCAGCTCTCGTTCTCAGGGTCAGCGTGCTGTGTTGAAATTCGCAGCTCACACCGGAGCAACACCAATTGCTGGACGATTCACTCCTGGTGCATTCACCAATCAGATTCAGGTAATTATCATCCCTCAATGAATGAAAATTAAGTTAACCGACATTTAAAAATTAAAAACATCGATTAACTTTAATTTTATCCGCGATTGATACTTATCAATCACAAAAATAATTAATCTTTTTAATTTATTAAATAAAAATGATATATATATATATTTTTTTTTTTTTTTTTTCAGGCTGCTTTCCGTGAGCCAAGATTGTTGATTGTTACTGACCCTCAAGCTGACCACCAACCAATCACAGAAGCCAGCTATGTCAACATTCCTGTAATTGCCTTCTGCAACACCGACTCACCTTTGAGATTCGTTGATATTGCAATCCCTTGCAACAACAAGGGACCCAACAGCATTGGTCTGATGTGGTGGTTGTTGGCTCGTGAAGTTCTTCGTCTTCGTGGATCGATTCCCCGTGACACAAAGTGGGACGTCGTTGTTGATCTGTTCTTCTTCAGAGAACCTGAAGAGGTATTGTATACCTTTTACTACTATTTATTTATTTATTTATTTATTTATTTATTTGAAAAAATAATTTATTTTTATTAATGATGAAAGATCTTTAACATAATCAAAATGTGTTGATTTTTTATGGCTTAATCTTTTCTGATAAATTTAATTTTATCATTAACTTATTATTTTAAGATAGTAACTTCAAATATTAACTGAAAAATAAATTGTAATTCAAGGTTGAAAAGGAGGAACAAGCAGCGAAAGAAATTGCTCCACCACCGGTGAAAGAGTTTGTACCGGCTGAGTCAACCGCCGATCAAGGTTGGGGAAATGAAGTTGATTCAGTTGCTCCAACTACTGAAAACTGGGCTGACGATGTTGCCGGAGTTCCTGCTTCCAGCCAAATGGCAGCAGCGGCTCCAGCATCTGGTTTTGCTTCATCTGGAGATTGGGCAACTCAGCCCACAAACGAGTGGTCAGCATCAGCACCAATAACACAGCCTGAGACCTGGGGTGGCAGTGCTCCTGAAAAATGGGCATAAACAAAGCCTATGTTGACAAAAATATTTATAATAAAAAAAAAAAAAAAACACAAAACTTTGTATTTTGTATTGTACAATAAAATGTCCAAGTACAATATATATTCTAAAAATCTCTTGAAATTTTTTTTATTATAATTATAATTATAATTATAATTATAGTAGTTAGTTATTGTAAATTAATTTTTTCTTTGGCAAAAGTACTGAATCGTCAGTACTGTCGTAAAGTTTTCCATGAACTCGTAACCTGTAGATGCAAGTGTATTCTGGATTACCCCAATTAGAAAGAATTTGCAGCATAATTAAATTCAATGGAATTTTTGTCCTGTCACTTTTCTGTAAACAATTATATTTTAATTACTTAATAATAATTTTCTTGATTTAAAATTAATCTTCAACTTACAGTGATTTGAAATATTTGAGACGATGGTCCATTATAATTATATTGAAATGATCCTAAAATTAAATATTTGTCGCGGAACTTGCCCTGTAAATAGCTACGTAAACAAATTGAATAATTTAAATAAAATTTAATTTTAGAAAATACTTACGAGAACGCGAAATTCCTTAGGAGCAGAATTAATAGTTCCAGTCAACGAGGCGGTTATTGGAATGTGCTCGAGTGTGACACTGCTCACCAAAGCTGTGCGTGCCAGTTCTATCTCTACATTTCCATGGGATCCACGAAACGCCCAACATTCTCCCGGTTGTGTCCATGGCTAAATTTTTATTATTTAATTGAATTTAATTAAATAATTAAGTAAATAATAAATTTATTTACCTGAATAACTTTACGCGGCGTAAAGTAATTTGGCTTCCAAATTGGAATACCAAAAATAGAAAACTCAGCGGCATGAGGCTGATAAAAAGACTCGGTGTCTGGTATTGAAATAATTGTACCACCTGCAGCTTCTGATGCAAAGTCTGGCATCAAGTCGCCTAAATTTTTGTGATATTTATTTAGATTCTTCAGCTCTAAATGCTAAAAATCAATCAATTTATTTAAAATCAATTCGTGATTAAAATATTATAAATAAAAAAAAAAAATAAGTACCATTCGCTTGATGGTCATCTCAAGACTGAAAGCTTTACTCTTGAGATGAGTCAATTCGTCATGAATCAATGCTTTGTAGGACTCTGAAGCATCAGAGATTGCCATTAACTCTTCTCTGGGAAAATTTTGTGGTTTTTTACTGAAAAAATCATTCAAATTTGGAGTATAGACAATACTGTAGGCTATCAACAGTCCAGCTCCAATACTCATGATGAAAAATGATTCTATAATAGGTTTTATCAATTTAAAAGATTTCTTAGTGACATAGCCTACATTTTTTAACATCCAAACATCGATATTCATCAGCGTCAAAATAATTAATTCAAGTCCTGGAATTTTTTTTCAATTAAAATGGATGAATAAATAATTTTGTGGGAAATTCCTTGGAGTATTTACCACGACTGTCATATTTTGATGCTCCAGAAGCAGGTACTACTTTTATTGAATTACTAAACATTTTTTTTCTTTTTAATTATCAATTAAATTTATCAATATTATCTATATATTTGTCAGTTAATATGTCGATAACAATGTGCTCGACAATTCCGATGTTTACATCAGAAATTAAATATAATGACATCTATTTATATAAAATAAAATAAAATAAAATAAAATGGAGTTGCGCTGTCGATCGATGAATAAAGTGACGCAATCCTGTGAACATTAAGCCTATATATTTATATATATATAAATGTGGAGTATTTATATTACTTAGCTTTGTTGAATAGTTGTCTATAATTATATGTGAGTGATAATAACTGAATAATTAACCAACTAATATGTCTTGCTGCGCTTGTCAGGCTAAATTTTCATTGTTTTCCCGTGAAGTAAGTATCATCAACCTTCAACTGTCATTAGGTTATATTTACATATATTGTATGTATATTATTATTTTTAATAATGATAATTTAATAAAATTTTAGCATGGATGTCCTAGCTGTGGATTTTCTTATTGCACTAAATGTCTCAAGTACAAATACAAACTGCCTGATGACAAAATAAAAAGTGTCTGCGGTCCTTGCTACCACCGATTAGTAGTCACTGCTAAAAATTACTACACCAGCAATGAATCTGATGTTTCATCAGTTAATTCCAACAATTCTTTGCTACCTTTGGATATTGAACAAAAGTATGTATATTTTTTTTATTATTATTAATAATTACAATGATTTCAAATATTTACGCAATAATTTATATATTTATAGATTAAATTCACTTGACAATCCTGAGAAACCACCAATAGTGATGTACAAACAAGGTCGCTGGGATCAGTTCAAAGCTGGTCTAGATCCAGAAGACCAAGCTCTAGTTGACAGATTGTCCAAGTTGAAGGGTATGGATAAACAGCAGTCAGCTCCGACCACCAAAGAGATCCAGAGACGTCTTGCTATCTTAAAAGACCAAAATCCAGGCTATAAACCGCCGATTAATGTATTTCATACTTCCGGCTACTTTTTTTAATTTTATTAACGTATTTTTTTTTAAATAAAACAGATTTATCAAATGGATACCCGGACAAACGACCAGAAAACTGATGATTTGATTCAGCAGTACTTTGCAGAGCTGAATTTATCCAAAAGTACTTCGTCAAAGGACATTGAGGAGAGACTGAATAAATTAAAAGACATTGACCCGTCGTTGCCTTCAGCTTCTTCGTCGTACGCCAACGCTCCTGATCCAGACGAGTCGCAAATAGTCAAGAATATGATCAGCAGAGCTATTGCTGAGGCCGCTTTGGAGAAAAAATACGGAGAAACAGCAAGTGAAGAGCAAATGGATTTAGAGATTAATGATGTTTGTATTTTATTCTTTTATTAATTTTATTTATTACTATATTATATATTGGTAAATATTATTTGATTTTTATTGAAATAGAGTTCTGAAGAATTTTCGGATCCTGAAGTAACCTGTGTTATGTGCAACAAAACGAGTGAACTGATAAGATGTCGAGGTTGTCACGAAGATTTGTACTGCATGCCATGCTTCAATGATAATCACGATGAATTTGAATTAAAGGAGCACAAAATAATTAAGACAAACTTATAATACGTACCTCCCAACACCCGGAAATTTTCTTATTTCTATATCTCTGTACTCTTACTGATTCGATGCTTTCGACACTTATGTAATTAAAATAATCTAAAATCATGTGCTTCAATTCTTCTATTATTTATTTTTTTCTCACGCTCAATTTTTAATTTTATTTACCAATAAACTCACTGGTAATGAGGGTAATGAGGGATTGTATGTATTTATATAATGAATAAATTAATTTGATTTTTAAAATAAAATAGTCATTAATTTTAAAATAATAATAATAATAATAATAATAAAACGTTAGATTTAAATAAAATGTCTCTTACATATTTTACCTTGGGAATAAAAGTAGACAAAACTTTTGTATCGCAATTCATTTTGTAGGCAGTTTCTGTACTTTTATCTTGATACATCTTCTGGAGAATGTGAATAGATATGTGATGATTTATATGCTAATTATTATCATTAAAATAAAAAAAATCAAATAACAGTGGGAGGAAAGAATTGAAAAAATACCGGTTGATAATTTTTTTATTTTTATTATTTACTTATTATTGTATTTAATTACCAGTGAATAAAAATAATAGAGAAATATTTATTATCGTTCTTTATTTTTTATTTATTTTTAATAATGAACGCAATACATATTGATAAACGTATAATAAATAAAATTAAATTAACGTTAAGAAAAATTTAATGGCTTTGTATTTTAATTATTCTATTAAAACTTTTAACAGATGGCTTTTTTTATTTTGTTTTTATTTATAAATATAAATAATTAATATTAAAAATTTTAATCTAATTACAACTTTAAAATTTAACGTTGTATTATATTTTTTATTATATTCAATACTATTATTTTAATAATAAGAGCAGCACACAAAGACAATTTATGAAAAATAATTAATTGCAAATTAAAAGATAAAGATAATCATCACAAATTACGCTGAAGTAAAGAGAAACAAAATCAGTCTTCTGCTGATTATTTTATCTATTAAACAAGTCTGTGAATTAATCCTTTTAATTTATCAAATAACTCCAGCGAGTCAAATAAAATTAAATTATTTTTATTATAATTTTTGATTTTGTTTACATTACTTAAAAATTTATTTTTACGACAAATATAAATAAAATAATAATAATAGTAATAATATTCATTAATAATTAAAAAAAATTATTATATTACTGAGCTAATCGACTTTGCTCTTCGGAAGCTGGTAGTGGGATCGGTTCAATCGAAACGGGCGTTTGTTTTTTAGCTTTTTTTAATTTTTTTGGTGACTTTGCTGGGATTGTTTCATTGGCCTCTTTTTTAGTACTAGCCTCGTTCTCTTTTTTTAATTCCGTAGCATCTTGTGTAGTTTGAGTCTCTACTGGCTGAACCTCCAGCTCCATTACGCTATCATCACCAGATTTTTTTTCTTCAGGAGCTGTTTCCATAGGAACACCAGGAGCAATCTCAACAGTTATTAATGCATCAGCAGCCTCAGATTTATCGGTATCCTTTGGTTCAGAATCACCAACAACAGGCTCTATTTTGGTGGGTGATGGCAGAGGAATGGCCTCCCCTTGTTCCTCCTTAACTGGAGTCTCGCTCTCCATTGGCTCGACAGACTCTGCAGCCTCTGGTGGGTTCTTCTGTTCCACCTGTTGGTTAATTTCGGTTATCGGAAGAGGCGCCTTCGACTCCAATAAACTTATCGAGTCTTGGATACTCTTAATCGCGTTCTTTCTCGCCTGTCTGACATTTTCCTTGCCCTCAGTCTCGATGTCATCCAATTTAATGAGCTCCCTCGTCAACATTTCATCGAGATAAATGTACTGTTTGTCTTTTCTGGAAGTACCGCTCCATTGTTTAACCTGCTCCGTCAACGAGTCAATTTCATTTTGTACCAAAGCAACTTTTTCAAGGGGATCTGTTGGTACCACTTGTTTACGAGGTTTTGGAGATTCCTGACGCTTTGGTTGTTCTTGTTCTTGTTCTTGTTGAGGTTGTTGATGTTGTTGGTTTGCCTGTTGGTGATGTTTCATATGAACAGGGCTTTGATCCCGTCTTCTATCCTCGTGTTTGAATGGGGAATGAGATTGATTGTGATGGGTGGTCTTTCTTATTGTCGGGTGATCGAATGTGTCTGGGAAGGGATCTTGAAAGTGTTCTTGAAATTGTGAAGGCCAGTCTCTGTTTCTTCCACCAAAGTGTTGATTAAATTGGCTAGATGGCCTTTGATAATTTGATGAATTGAATTCTGGGTGTGACGAATCAAATGCCGGCTGATAGAACCTTGACGGCGATTGTTGTCTGACGTAAGGTGGCGCCTTGCCTTTTGAAATAACTGGCTCATCGCGACCTTCTACGAAAATTGGAATATGCCTGACATTGCCTTGTGGTTGGTGGTGCTGGTGCTGCTGCTGCTGCTGCTGCTGAGGTGGAGACTGATTTTGAGGTGACTGTTGCTGAGGATTTGGTACTGCATTGGGATTCTGATTTTGATTAGTGTACTGTGGAGTAATGTCTACCCTGGAAACGAACCGAGGATTCTGATTCTGATAATAATTCTGTTTAGAATTGTTTTGGTTTGGTTGCTGAAACTGGTCCGGTCGATTTTCCGGAGGCGCAGACATGGATCTCTGTCCTCGGTCGGCCTTCTCAAGATTCTCCATATTGTGACGATGCTGACCAATGTCTACGGTGTTGCGTAAACCGTACTGGGGGATTTTGTTATTTCCAGTGAGTTCCTGGTGCTGATAAATTAAATCTGGTTCGCCGTGAGAACTGACACCACTGGCACCGCTGGCTGCACTCGCAGCACTGGATCCACTCGCTTGACTACGGGCGTCTTCGTCTGGATGACCCTGTTGGGAATGGCTTCCCGAGCCGCGTCGACGGTTACGGAGTGTCCCGTGAAAGGGTATATCGCCCCAAGGTGGTCCCAGCAGATGCTCTGCAAATTCTGGATGACGGGCCGCCAAATCGTCCAAGTGGGATCTTATATCCCCCCGTCTACTGAAACTGTCGTCGTCGAACGGAAAACCCTGAAATGATAATTAATTATTTGTCATTTATTTATATATAAATATTGGCGGTAAGTATTAAGCAATGTAGTGTAATTTAAAATAAAAAATTCGTTATTCGTATAGTTTACGTAGGCGACACGCTTCACTGTCGTCACGACCTCGAACGCGTAATTCAGGCAACGTCACGGAAATCACACGCCTATAGTTAGATTATTATCTTACAGCATGACTTTCACTCTATTTCATTTTTAATTTGTTTTTCTTGTTATAATTTTCCATCATCATCATCATCATCATCATCATCATCATAAGAATCATAATCTGTGTTACCTGGTTGTTTGGGGATTATTTTTTATTTTTTAACGATAATATTTATTTATATTTATAAAAGTACGAAAATAAACGAATATGTATAACGACAAGTTTAAATAAAAAATACGGGTTTTCGTATCATATCCATTTAAAGAGCTCTAAAGTTGTTCTTCGGGTTCTCCTGAGAGCTGTGTGGAGGTTTAACTATGAATCAGACGGTTGCTACTTATGCTACACGGAAAATATAATATATCTTTTTTTTTATTTATCCCTTTCTATTACTTTGTATGTATTACATATTGTCATTAGCACCGTTTCATATTTTATCTTTTCGATAACAAAAAAAAAAAAAAAAATAACTAAACATGTCAGTATATATTTTTTAAACAAAAATTTTTTTGTTTAAAATTTATCAAGGATAAAAAAATACCAATAATGTATTATTTGAATAACATATCCGTTATTTAAAATAGCTTGGCAATTACTTAACGCTATGGAATTCATCACAGATGTAACGACAATGCCTCTTTATTATTAATATTATTATTATTATTATTATTATTATTATTATTATTATAATGATTAGTATCTGAAGAATAAAAAATTTTTAAATTGAAAACAGCTGCGGTGAGACTGAGACGACAAGTTAATGTTAATCACCTTATATGGAATACTCGCTGACAAACTCGGAAAACAAAGCGATAACCCTAAGAAAGTAAATATACACTTTACAATTTTTTTTTCTTTTAATATTTACACACCAGATATACTTTTATTGTGGCAATAAAATATTTTATTCAATTATTCAGAGTTTAAATAAAGCTAATTGCGGTTAAAAATAAAATAGGAATTATCTCTTGGAGTAATTAATTAATTTTTTTGATAAATTTGGTAAAAAAAAAAAATCACAAGTATGAATCATTTTCTTGGATTAAATATCTGATCGGAATTAAGAGCACGTGCATTGGAGGATTGAGCGACCTTCTGTCAATTATTTAGAGTAAATTATAACAGCAATTAACCGCGTGTAGTATCCAGAGCATAAATTATATAAACTATTTAAATAAAAAATTTAAAAAAGATTATTTGATGTAGAGGAGCTGTTAGTGCTCTTATTCGCATAGTTACGTAGTTATAAATAATTCGCAAATTCTTTTCGCCTGAAGAGAATAATAATAACACGTGGTGTCTGGCGTGTACGGTGATATTACACTGATTCAGAATTGCATATATTTATTATAGATATATATATAAATGAATCGACAAGATTGAAGACTGCGCAGAAGAATAAGAAGGCAAAAACATCACGAGCTTAAAGCAAGAGCAGCATTCCTCACCACAATCTCTACCTTTTATGATCTATCCTTTCGATTTCTCTTTCTTTTTTTTTTATGATTATTATTATTATTATTATTATTGTTATTGTTGTTGTTGTATTATTAAATATACTAATCGAATCTTTGTATCATTATTATATTATTGTATATTATGTCGGCTGTTGGTAGTTGGTTATGGGTGATGGTGACGTCAAGCCAAGTCCCAAAGAACATATATGTGTGGGATAAATAATTATTATAATAATAATAATAATAATAATAAATAATTATACGTTGTGTTGTGGGTATAGAGCTACTACATGAGTTATTGCGATTATTCATACGTTTAATTACTCAATTCTTGATATATTATTAATATTCGTTAGTTTATTTTTATTTATATTTTTTATTAGCGTTTCCGCGAACAAATATTAGCGGTTTTAATTATTCCCGGCTCTCAACAGTTTTTTATTACTATTTTTATCGTTTAATCATTAGTTTAAACAATAATAATAATGTTTTTGTATTTCTAAATATAAAAATGAGGTTTCTATTTAAAAAAAAAAAAAAAAAAACTAAAGTTATGAAATAAAACCGTTTTAAACCGGTTTTATTAAATATGATAGAACAAATAACAGTTTGAGCGAGTATTCGTGCAAATAGGATAAGTCAATCCAAAAACTGTTGGCTCATCAACTCAAATACTATAAACATTAAGCGCAACTAAATTTAAATTAATCGCATACCGATAAATTTTATAGTTTGATACTTGTCGAGCACTTGTAACAATTTTAATTGAATTTTATTGAGTAACAAACTATAATATAATATTCAGAGGGTCTTTTTTTTCTTTGTTAAAGGCTCCGCAAGTATTTGGTTAAGTTTTTCGAGAGTAACATTTCATTTTTATTTTTTATTTGGATGGTATAAGACGATGACGACTAAGCTTTAATATATATCGTGAGTGGAGTATGTATTATTAGAATACGACGGCTCTCAGTAGTTTCTAAGGCTTTACTCAACACGCAAAATTTTTTAAAACAATAATTGGAGCGTTTTTTTTTTTTAGTATAATAAAGGAAGGAGAAATTTTTAATTGTTTTTTAAAGATCAACAATTGGCCAGTAAAATTTCAATTGAAGATCTTTTGATGGTGGGTAATTTGTAATGATGTTATTTGTCTAGCGGTGGTAGACAACAAACGACCTTTCTTTATACGAAAATTCTGGAATAATCTCGTTTTCTCAACCTTGATAACCAAAGAACAAACCAACGAACTTGGTTGATCGATGAAGGCGCCTGCGCCGAGGTCACAATCTTCGAAACATTGTCGTCGTCGTCGTCGTCGTCGTCGTCGTCGTCGATAACAAGGACGTCCGGTTTAAGGTTTGCATCGTATTAAATTAACAAAACAAAATATTTGTAACGAGTCACCAGTACTATACTTTCGATCTCCATCTACCGATTTTACTTATTCATTTTTTAAAAATAAAATTCAATTAAATGTTATTTATGCTCCCAAGAGTCCAATAAACTTTTTTGTGTACATGTCTGATGTTTGTATAATTGCATGTTGTTTTTTTTTTTTTTTTTTTTAAAGAAAGTTTAGTTGTTAAAGATTAAAAATAGTTGTTTACAGAGTAGGCAGGATAGAGGGGATTAAAAACAACACTTACAGGGTCCAGATCTCGGCCAAATTTGGATGCAGTGTCCACGATGACAGGCGAATCCATATTATTTTTTTGTTGTGTACACGGACTTTAGGTCGCACGTGCTGATACGACTATTTCTCGAACAATCTGCCCTAACCCTTAACGGAATTATTTATTTTTTTTTTTTTACTCTTAATAAAATTACAGATTACAGATACTGGAGTTTTTTATCCTCTCTTTTCTGCCGTTATTTATTTTTTAAACTATAAATTTTCTAATTCAACTATTTGTTTGATTTGTTAATAGTCTGGGATGAATGCAATAACACACTGGTTTATTTTTAAAAATCTCATGAGATGTGATGAGATTATTTTACCGGCAAGGTTGGCTCTTCAATCAGCCTCTGCTACACAGCCTGAGCCTCACTCTTCTCTCTTCTGGACTCCAGTGACTACTCTATTTAGTTTACCGTTTATTATTATGCAATCCACCTGATGATATAAATATATTTTATTATAAACTTCACCGCTTTTTTAATTAAAAAAACCACTCAATTATTTAAACAATGATATATATATATATACTCTCTATTAATTATTCACCTTTTAGATAAAATAATCAAGTAATTCAATTAAACTTTGCACAGTTTTTTTTTGACATTTGCACAGTGACGTTTGTATAAGATACTGACAGCTGGTCCAAGACACCAGTATTTTTATAAACTCGCGCGGCGCCAGTGCCTCCGTGGAAGAACTCGGAACTAAAATTCGCTGCGCGGTAGTTTCTGCGCATACGCAGTCGACCAATATCGCGCTGAAACCCACACGCGGGAAACCTCTAGAAATTTCCACAAGTTTCTGTCACCTTCTAGACGCTACTACATTCCGGATAATAATTATTCAAAGTTTACATTTTTTTACATCTTTTGCTTGGTTTTTTTCTTTTACAATTTTACATTTCAACAATTTAATGTTTTGTATAACAAATAATCATGACTTTTTTTTTATTTTTCAGAAACTTTGCCCAAGTTTTTCTAGTCTGCACCTTTGGCTGCAATGATTCACCCGTGTAATTTTTCCAATATCCTAATTGTTTGAGCAATCACGCCGATGAATAGATGAATAAATGAATAAATATCAATTATTATTTAAAATAAAGAATGACAGTTTTAATTTGACCATAAAATAATTTTAGATCGATGATTATAATTTGATTTGACAATTTGTAGCATTAAAACGGCGCATTGTACTCATACTTGCGGGAATAAGTAGCACAATTGGAATCCATCCAAAATTTATATTAAGTATTCCAAGAGAATATTTTATCAGAGTTAAGGGCACACGTTCATTACTTGACCTTACTTTTTTTTTTTTAGTTTTATTAATTAATTGTCAATATTATAATTATATTATATTGACTATAAAAATTAAATGATTAATAGCATAAAAAGTGTGACAAGACTCTATTTTTATTATACGGGTGTGTTATTTTCGAATTCTCCTATTTTTGAAACAACTTTCTGTCGAGTTTTAAAAGTGATTTAATTAAAGAGCGGTAATCCTTTTAGAAATAAAATAAAATTATCATATTTAATGAATAGAGTTGTACTTTTTAGTAAAAATTGCCAATAAAATATTCAATTTGACAGGAAGGCGTTATTAAATTTATTATTTAAAATATCACTTTCTAAACGAGTGAATTTAATACCACTGTTTTAATAATAGATTTTAAAAGTAGAAGGAATTTAAAATAAAACAACAACTCAAAATGAGGTTAAAGTCTGTGACTATTAATTTTAATTTCAATTTACTTGCTATTTTTTTAAGCTCTATTACTTATTTGTTAATTTATAAAATTTTTGTAAATAAAACTTTTATTTAAGTTATTTTTATTAAATAGGTTGGCCCATTTGCGTTCTCAGTTACTGGAACTATCGATTTGCCTGACCGATATAATAACATTGCAGTACACAAATACCAAAGAAAAGTAATATAAAATAATGATAATGCATATGTGTATACAATATCTGATCTCGTGTCAAGATTACGTGAGACTGACCTTCGTTAATCTCACTTACGATAAACAAAAAAAATTCACTATACGTAATAACATTAACAATAATTCCTGAGTTATATAATCTTTATCTGATAATTCAATCTATTTTTGGTAATTTATATTTTATTTTTATTATTAATTTAAATCTTTGCATTAATTGTTTTAATTAATAAATAATAAAGATCGATATTTTAGGTATAATAGCTAGTGTCATCTATCGAGGATCGAGAGCAGAGCGGTCAATAAGTTGATTTTGACTTTTATTTCGATTATCTTTCGAGCAACTTATATATACTTTATCATTTAAAAGTTTTAATTGTAAATTGTACAAGTTAAGTATAAAGTATAAATAAAAATGGCTTGTTACATTGGTTTAAATAGAGAACAGGTTCTCATGATCTGAGCAACCGTGAATGATCGATAATGACGATCGATGATCTACGGAGATCGATAGAACTATCAGGCGCTCATGAAAGACCAAGAGTTGTTCTTCACCACTTACTGTGTGTAATATAATGTAAATGTGTAGACATACACACATTATTTAGCTTCGTATACACTTAATACAAGCTAAACGTTCAACCTGCTTGCCTGCCTCTGCCAGTTACTTTTCTGTATAGATATTTACAAACTGTACTCACACATTTATCTATATCTATATTATTATGTCTGTTATGTTTGGTATGACGTCATATTTTTCTACCTATTGCCGAGCTGTGTATACATATCTCGATCTAGTGTGCAGAAAGTAGTAGAGACAGAAAAACGGAGATACAGGTTTCTCTAATATGTATATGACTGTCGTATTATATATATATATATATACGAATACGAAATATGCGTTTAAGATGTTCGATTACCTGTTATTGTCCTATTTTTCCGGTTTTTACTTTCTATTTGCATTATTATAAACATCAATCATATGTCATTACTATGTTAACTTATTTATTATATATGTCAACAAGTTATTATTTAAATTCACGTTGTTTAAATATAAATCCTTAAGTTAACTTTATAACTAGTATAATTTATTACTAAGGCAAAGGTGTGTCTTAATAACAAAGAATCGATTCAATAAATACCTGACCTGATTATTATATTCCTTTTTATCGAAAGGTTCTATTTGATTTACTTTAAATTTATTGAATAATTTTTTATAACTTTCTTGCAACTGCAACAACAATTATAATTTATAATAAATAAATAATTGGTTGATTGATTTCTATATAGTTTAAAGTTATGAATATTTAACGACACGTGCGCTTATAATTGAACGGTCAAGTGAATGCCAGTGCTCATATTTTAATGATCAGGTGATTATGATTACAATAAAAAAAAGTTTAAGCAACATTTGTATTTTTTACCCGTCAGCTTAAAACCTTTTAAGAGTATGTACGTAGAGTATATGTTGCTGTTGAAACGTGTGTATAATTAACAATGAATTGCTAGTGAGGAGCTGACGAGAGACAACTTTTGCTGATAATTCTATACGATTGCGTCCAAGGTGATTAAACAATTTTTACTCAAAAACTTTTATTAAAATAAAATAGTTGATATAGCCTTTTTATCGGATAATATATTCCTGGAAATAAATATACTATTAAATTATCTAATTATTTATAATGGATTCTGTTGTATAGTACACTCAATATAATAAACTAATAGCGATTGACGGCCGTGTGATCGTTCAATTCACTAAATCACGCCACACCCATTGTTTTTCATATACATATATATTTGTAATGGGAGTGGATTTTTTCCTCTAACTAAATTTTTTTTTTTTTTTTAGAAAATTGAAAAAAAAAAAATCTAGTTTTTCCATTTTATTTTTTATTTTTATTGCAAAGAATTTGAAACATTGGTGTCGTAAGGTTCTTGAACTCGTGCCATAGTCTCGCTCGGAGTATCTGTGAAGTGAATAAGAAAGAGTGGTGAAGAGACTGTAATGGAGAGAAAAAATAATAAAAAATAATAAGAGAGAGTAATAGTAAAAGAAGGCATTCCACACAACATGGATACTACTTTTTAGCTTATATTACTCTATCTCACTGTTTACTGTTTTTATAAATGCATATTTTACTCTACTATGGTAATTTAGTCTCTCTCATCTTTTACTCTCTTTACTCTCTTTACTTTTTACAACACTTGTCAAGAAGAAGAGTCTTTGGTCTGACTGGCGCCAATTATTGCTAAGAGAAGTAAAGGTGTATCATTCTCTTGGCCCTTTTTCAAACGTAAATATAACGTAACATCTCTCGTCTCATTTCCCATTATTAAGTATATTCTATCGTCTACACTCAAATAGTTTCATTTTTATTTTATTCTACGCATACACACTAGACAAAGAAGAGGCTTATTTGTAAAAGAATAAAATCTAAAGAAGCTTATAATCGGTGCGATAGGTTGACAAATAATAATTCAAGTTATATTATATGATGAAAGTTGGGAAAGGAAAATAGCAATTTAGACGTGAGAAAGTCAATATCAATAAGTGGGATGAGTAAATACCACACCAAAAATAAAATTGCTTTTCCCTTTCAAAAACATACTTTTTTATTTGCATAACTACCGTGATATTTTTCTTATTTTTTTTTTTTTCTTTTTTTCCACTTTTAAGAAGAGTGTCAAAAAAATACTCGATTGCTGGAAAGTCTGCCTCCAAGATTAAATTTCAATATAAAAGATATTTATTATTAAAAAGTTGGACTAGATATACTTTTATTTATATTATTTTTTGTCTAGCGAATAAATAATATTTGAAGTAAGCGTGCGATATAATTTATAAATGAAATTATTTGCAATGTGTACTGAAATGAAAGAGGATCAATGGCGGTTATTTTGAGAGTGGATCGGATCTCTTCTCTGGGACTCTCGGGTTAAGTTGTCGAGAACATTCTGTGTGTATATAGTAGTTTTTATTCTCGTTGGCCAACCAAACCAAACACTCTAACAACTAACAACTGCGAATTATTCGCACTGAGAGTGAGAGTAGATACTCTATACTGTACCTAGAGTTTTAACTCGGTGCACGACACTTAAACAACCCCCGCTATCTCTTTGGTTGTTTAACTTAAGTGAGCGTCGAACATCTACTCACTTAGTAATAAAATTAGATCATTGTCTTTTTCTTTTTCTCTCTTAGTATCTTACAAGCAACGCTCTCAAATATTTGTTACCAATTAACTCGCATCAATTTCACAATATATACTTAATACTCATTTACACTTGTTACTCATCTTTGTAACCTACTAACTCAAAACGCAAGTACAAAAATATATTTAATATAAATAATTTAAGATTTATTTACAACAGTAGCATGTGTTTGATTAAAATCAAATCGAGTATTGTTCATCCCTATAAACATCTTCCTCTTAAATTTGGTATATCCCTTTTCCCTTTGTTTCTATGTAGAGTACCCAGATATTGTATTTAACTCGCCCCTAGCATTAGGGGTAACTTTAATCTAGTTGGGAGCAGAACATGAAATTGCAATATTATATATCGACTCATCCATCATACTTATAATCGACTCTATCACTATTGAAACTTTTCAGCCAAAAATAAATTCTTCTTTACTATATGATGGGATAACAATAGTAAGAATTATAATAATAATAATAATAATAATAATAATAATAATAGTACGTGAGAAAGACGGAAATTTAAGTGCAAGTCCGACGATATAAAAGTTTTTATTATGTAATCGATGACGGGGAAAAATAAAGCAATCACAGAGCAAGAGTGGACTATGGTTAAGCAGGAAATAAAATGTTTTTTTTTATGGGATAATATATAAAATCTTTTGGCAGCCACTGAATAATAATAATAATCAGCCGGAAATAAGATACGATCGTAGATGAGCATTAGATTTTGTTAACGGCTGCCAACAACTTTAAGGAATGTGTCACGTACCGATAATGTTATCTAAATGACTTTTCATCGAACTGGGAAAACCGAGTGACAGCTAAGGAGAGACACAAGGGCCCTTGAAATAAATTTTTCCCTCATGATTCATCTTTAGTTTTCTCTTTGTTTTTGTTGTCTCAAATTTTCCTCAACTAAATAAATCTATCTAAAATATGTGTTTAGTAGTACATTCAGAGATAAAATCAATGTCGTTGTTTTTAATTTAAAAACAATTTTTTAAGTTAATGACATAATCATTTATTTTATTAATTATCAGTGATAACTAATAAAATAAATGAGGTTCTTGTTTTTTTGTTATCTTCTATTGGTTTTGTGTGCTACAGAGTTTTTAATTTAATAACCGAAGCGTAGAAAAGTTATATTATTGAGATTTTATTTATCTGAGGAAGAGTAGAGGCTGTTGGAGAATTTTTTGTTTGGTAATTTATTGAGTAAAGACGTTTCCTTGGAATTATTTTATCAAAGATCGATATAGTCACTATTTTAATTAATTTATGGCTTATATCTGATCTTTATTGAAACGTTTTAATTTTCAGAATAAATATACGTACATATGAAGCAATAATGTACGGTCTAATTGTTATTATATATATCTTAATCACGTGATACACGTATGCAATAAATTATTTTTACAGCCAAACGACTGAAAAAAAAATTTATAATTATCATTCTTAGATAATTATTATACAAGACTTGTCATTGAAGGTAAATAAATATATTTATATATATATATAAATATTTATTGCAACAGCATAATGATAAATAAATAAAAAATTACCCGTGAAAAAGCGTGCCGATCAAATGGATCCCTGGTGGTTCTCGAACTTGGTTCAAAATTTTTGTCTTCATCATCAAAATGGTGTTTCAATTCTTGAAATAATTCATCTCCAGATTTACCGCGGAGTCTTTCACCGAATTTAGGTTTGTCGCGAAAAAAATACGACATATTATCTACAATATATTTTTTTCTTTTTTTATCAAACTATTAGTACAATAGAAATAATAATAATAATAATAAGAATTATTATTAATGTTTTACTACACTGGCACCCACTCACGACTCACACACACAACACCTTTGTACAGCGTTTGTGTTTTTCTTATCACTCGGATTTTATTTAGCTTTCGAATTAATAAAAATATTATTTTTAAAGATAGTCATTAATTAAGACTTGCGGTGCTTTAACGTTATTGCGACACTCAATTAAACATTTAAAAATACCAGTCTTTATTTTTAGTATAAAAATGTTTAACGAAATTTTTATTGGTGATTAAATATAAAACATTATCATCATCATTATAATATTTAATAAACTCCACAATTTTAACGCGCCAAAAATATATTTATAAAATAATCACTAATGTTATATTAATATTTCACTGTTTACGTGAGAGATAAATTGAATTAATAACTAAAAAAACTCACAGCTCGTGCCAATTTATAACAACAAATGTTACAACTTGATATAAATAAATTTATCAGATGAAATTAAAAATTTTGAAGAAACCAATTTTGGTGAAAGTTTTTCTACGCGTTTTATTAAATAGCTACTGCACCAAGTACCCTCTACAAGTAAACAAGTAGATACTCAAGACTCAAGACTTGTTACGATCCAAGATCCAACTCGATCTCTTCATTTACAAGTCTCGGGTAGTTTTAAAGGCCCCTCACTATTACACGCAAAACCTTACTCCCGTATATTATATATATATATATATATATTTATAACTCTTAAATGTCACGCATGCGCACGATTTCCACGTGATCTATCGGCTCTTTTTTTTTTTTTTTTTTTTTTTTTTAAAGGTGATTTTTCGATATACATCCACTTTGTCTAATGTTAAAAGTGAAACCTCTAATTAATACTTGTTGGCACAATGAATTTAAATTCCATTTAAATTAATTAATCGGTATGTAGTAAATAAACTTTTATTGTTATTATTATAAAAATTCAACACATGTTTATTTGTTTTTCCAACGATATGATTAAAAATAAATTTCTGAATGTATCATAAAAAATATTTTGATTTCTTTTTTTAATTTTTATTAAGTAATACTTTTATAAACATTATTTATTTATTCAATAGCAGTCCATTGAAATGGTATCTGTTTGTGCGTAAACTGTTAGAATGTCATCTAGAATGGAATCATAGGAAACGGTGTAAGTATTTAACCAGTTGCGTCTTTCAGTAATATAAGCATCAATATCTGTGTTGAGAATGTGAGACAAAAATTGTTCTCTTGTAACTTTTGATATACGACCGAGGGCCTCGCGTTTTTCGTTAACACAGTCATCGTTCATTTTCAGAGAATTTTTGTACATTGTCGCCAATAAACTTGAGTCATTTGAATCAATAATGTCATCGATTATATGTGATAAATCTTTTTCAGGATTTTTAGCGGTTGATTCTGAAGATTTTAATGAACAGTTGGAGTTTGATTTACTGTTACATGGATTGCTGTACAAAGAAGTATTATTTTGAGTTGGTTGGTCTAGTTTGTATTTCAATAACAGACATTTTAGTTCATTTATTATGTCTGCAGCGCATTTTGATACTTCAAAATCACTCTCATCTTCCAAAGTCACTAATAGTACCTGTAATTAATTATTCCATTGTAATATTTAGTTGATTATTACTATTTATATGATTAATAATTCTTACTCCAAGACAATTTTCCTTGGCCATGTATTGAAGAACTTTATCCAATCGATTTTTTATTTCCTTGTCATCGAGTTGGACGATTTTTTTGTGTTCTTTAGAAAATGTTACCATTGGAAATTCACCATCTAGCATTCCTTGTTCAGTTAATTGAAACTTTATGAAATCATGCCAGTAACTCAACGCATTTATTTTAACTTCCCAATGAAGATCTAAAATTGCTGCTACCACCATTGTATGATTTATTGTATCAAGTACAGTATTTCTGTAATAAAAAATAAATAAATAAATAATTTTCAAATTAATTTGTCGTTTACATGCAATGCAATCCATAACTTACGGCCACTGTCTGTAAACATATAATTCTCTTATTAATATCACGACTTCTTTTCTAACAATAGCTTCACTTTCTTCACTGAATAATTCTATTGATCTTTCCTATAATAATAATAATAATAATAATAATAATAATAATAATAATTAGAGAGATAAAATAATGTATAAATTAATAAAAGTACTTACAATTAAATGTAATGAAGATAATTCTTTATTCCATAAATTATTTATTCGTACAGCAATAGCTATAAATTTAAGAGCGGAGGCTCGAACATAACTCTCTCCATCCTTCATTGCGATGTCGGTAACCAGTGATAGAAGTTTATTTGTAAGAATAAGTTCTTGGAATGCTGGATACGCTGTTATTAAATAATACTGATTAGTAATTTAATTAATTAAAATTTTGAGATAAAAAAAATGAACTTACTGGTCTCCGAAATATTGGCAATAACCAGTAATACTTCCAAAGCACTATCACGAACTTCCCAATTGCTGTCGTGTAATCTTTTATACAAAGTTGGTCCGATTTTATTCATGTGGCTCTCACCGTTCACCAGCAATGCCAAATTTGGGGGCATAAAATTTTCTATTGCCAATTTACATATTTTCAATGCTCGTACACAAAGCTAAATCAATATTTATACTACATTAATGTAGATATTATAAATGGATAAATAAAAAATAAATAATTATTCAAGCCTTACATTAGGTGAAGTTCCTGAGTGATTTAAAACTTCTTGAGCTAAAGATAAAACACAAATGGTTTCAACGCAATCAGACCATTTGAATTGAAACTTTTCTGTCATAACTGCAACTCCGTGTAACAAAGTTGATAACAAAATAGGAGCATCGACTATGGGATCTCCATCAAGAATTGACTTTCTTACAACATTTCTCTGGTGATTTGGAGGATTAATATGTTGAATTTGATTATAACCATTACTATTCTGGGCTTGCTGGCAATTTTCACTGTTTTGACGCAATGCAGACAGCAAAATAGGACTGGTATCATGTGAATTTTCATTTGACATCTGTAGTATTTCACCTCTACAATCACCATCATCTTGCATTTCATTGCTGTCGGTTTCGGATGTTACATAATTTTTTAATACATGACACATACTTTGAAATGGTATCACTGCAGTATCCTACGTAGAAGAAATTATTTATTATAGTAATATTTTTATATTAATGATATTCGTAGTATAAAAAATACTTACTCTGTCCATTAAATCGACAACTTCAAGCACCATTTCAATACAAGATTTACAGATTAATTCTAGGGGTAAATCTTCCTTTAGCATGACATCTCGTGCTTCATAAGCCAATCTCTGGATCGGTTGGCAGGTTATACTAAATACTTTATAAACAAAAATTTCAAAAATGTCATATTTTTTATAATTTTTTTTCAAACATACAAACAATGGAGTAACCTGTAATTCAGAATAAATAATGAGTTTAAAATTGGATTTTTTTTTTTTTTTTTCAATTTATAAATAAAAATAATTACCATAGATACGACGACTTGATGCTCAAATTTATGTTTAGTCTCTGGCGTACGAAAAGCCTGAAGATTTTGTAATTTTTTCCAGTAAATCAATGAAAATTTATTCGTCCTAATTAACTCAGTGATGTAATTTTTGGATATGAATAAAGTCTGTAAATAACAATAACCCAGACGAAATTTATTCCAAGTCTCTTGACGAACGACTATTTCATTGTTTTCATTAGTTTTAAATCCAAACTTTAATTTACTAATAAATATCAAAACCCACAGCTTGTGAATATTCGCGAGAAACTTGGTACTAATACAAGCCTCAAGTAGTGCTTTGATCCGAACTTCGAGATTTGCAATGTCATAAAGTAAATTAGGAATGGTATTGTCCAGGCTATTGAACAACGTATTTTCTAGAATACTCGTTATTAAATTAAGTGTTGTTGACAGAACTCGCGTTTGGTCTAAATATAAATCCTCAAGTGCTGTGTGTACTTGAATACCATAGGTATCATTAATAAGCGGCTCGGATACTTTTTTAATAATTTCTGTACATAAATCAATATTTTGAGATTCATTTATAAGTAATTGACAAATAAATTTTTGACTTTCTCGTGTTACGTACATTGTGTGATTAAATTGAGCAAATTTTATTACGTCTTTCCATACACCTGCAAAATAATAATTTTTTTAATTTTTAAATAGTCACATGATTATAATAATTAGAGAAAAAAATATTTACCTGAATCAATTACCCACTTTCTACCACAACTATGACCAATAATGTCAATTAACATTTTAGTATAAGCCATTTTGACAGATGCTGATAAATCATCTTGCCTCAAATTAAATATATCGAGTACTTTATCATAAATATTTAATTTATTAAAATAATCAAAATAGTTTTCATTTTTCCCCATTGCTCCAATCAACTTTATAGTAAATACAGTCACTGGTTGACATGGTTTATTATCAATCCAAGTTTGACATGCCTTTTCGATGTAATCTTTTATTATTTGACACTGATTATCAGCTAAATAATGGGATTGTTAAGTAAATCATTTATTTTAATTACAGATGTTATTGAATTTTTTAAGGTTATATGCATTAAAAGCTTAATAATTCAATGATATAATAATTAAAATTTACTTACATTTGGTTATTGCATTGGCAATATGTGTCAATAATAAATCCAAATATGTTGTTGAAGCGACATTATAATTAGGTAGTAAAAACAATTTTAAAACTTCCGACAATTTTTCATTAATACTTGATGTTTCCATTTTTTAATATTTTTAATTACTAAAAAAATAACATGCGCGCGCGCGCGCCCACCATGGAAAATATGACGAACGAGATTACGAGAATGTCTCATCACACGGGTATATGCGCCGCCATGATTGTGTTATTTATTAAAAAAGCTGCAGGTGGCTCTACAGTTCAGTCACATCACAACGCGCGAAAAAATGGAAATTTAAATTTAAAATTTAATTAATTAATTGATTAAAAAAAGTATCAATTCATATTTTCAATAAAATATTATTTTTAATAAATTACCACGTGTTTTTATTATAATTTCACAACATAAAATTTATAATTATTTTTGTTTAAAGTTATTTTTTTATTATAAAAACTACATTCGCGATTAAAATTATCCACGATCGCTAATATTGTTAAAAACATAAAAAACTTGATAAAAATAATCAACCCCCAAAAAGTCACGTAAGGGACACTAGGGTGGGGGTTGAAGTGAGGGTTGGAGTGGGGGTAACTGGAAAGTGTATATAAGGAGGGCCAGATACCCTGAGGAGCTCAGTTCCCGGTCGGCTGGCCAAGGGTGCACATCGCGCAATGATGGTGTAAACTTTGCCAGTCATCCATTTTACCCTCTCGGTTCATTTTTTACCTCGCGTTTCGTGTTTCGCGTATATTAGAGTCAGTGTTTAGATTGTGAACACAGTATAGAGTCTTATTATTTTATGTTTTTATTTTAATTTAATTTACCAGTAGCGTCATACTTGCGTTAGTGATCGGTATTTCCATTACAAATTCATTTCTTTGCTAAATTGATTCGAGTTTTTTGATAACCGTTTGTAGAGCCACATAGAATGTTAAATTTTTACAATTAATTTTTTTGTTACTGACAACCACATACACATACACACATATACCACTCACCGTACCCTACTTACTACTCGCGCATTACTTCTTTTGTTATTTTTTTTTTTAATCACGGTCAGATTTACATTAAATAATAGAGTCATAGAATCATTCTTAATTATTTTTTAAATTTAATTAGCTTCAACACACACACACACACAAACCAGATGGAAGGGTGGAACGAAGAAGTATTGCCTGGTGGCGACCCTAGACATCAGAAACGCCTTCAACTCCACCAATTGGGAATGCATCATGCAGGCCCTCCAAGAGAAGAATGTACCAGAATACCTTCTTAAGATCGTAGCAAACTACTTTGAAAACAGGGTCCTGAAGTATGACACGAAGAACGGTCCGAGGGAGTATGATATCACTGGAGGTGTGCCACAAGGCTCAGTTCTAGGCACGCTCCTGTGGAATATTATGTATGACGGTCTATTAAGACTAACTCTGCCAAGAAACGTCAAACTCGTAGCATATGCAGATGACGTAGCTGTAGTGATCGTTGCTAAACACGTTGACGAGATAAAACATATGTTCGATCTCACTTTTGAGCGCGTCAACCGGTGGATGGACGCAGTGAACCTGCAACTGGCGCACCATAAGACTGAGGCAGTACTTATTACTAGCAGAAAAGTGGTAGAGATCATTAAGCTGAAAGTCGGCAAACAAGAAATCACATCACAACCTTATATCCGATATTTGGGAGTGATGCTTGATGCCTGTCTCAACTTTAAACAGCAAGTGGAACACGTCAGTGCCAAAGCGTCAGTAGTAAGGGCAAGCCTCGCACGATTGATGCCTAACGTCGGAGGCCCAAAGCAGAGCAGGAGGCTATTACTGTCATCAGTAGTCACATCGGTGCTCACTTACGGAATATCTATTTGGGCCGATGCGTTAGAATTACAAGAAGCATGGAGAAAGGCTGGACCAGTTTATCGTTTGAATGCCCTAAGAGTAGCTTGCGCCTTCCGCACAATATCTGAGGAAGCAGTGTGCGTCATTTCTGGAACTCTACCTCTCAGAGTCCTAGCTGAAGAAAGAAGGAACCTTTACCAACGAAAGAGGTCAACAACACTGAGCGCAGAAGAACTCAGAACGGAACAAAGACAGCACAGCATCGCACGATGGCAATCTCAGTGGGATGCCGCAGAGAAGGGTAGATGGACGCATCGTCTCATACCAAAGATCGACATTTGGCTGAATCGAAATCACGGTGAGGTCAACTACTACCTAACACAGATGTTGTCAGGACATGGCTGCTTTCGGGCTTATCTTCACCGCTTTAGGCATGACGACTCTCCGGAGTGCCCGTCCTGCCCTGGAGCCACTGAAGATGCAGAGCACGTTTTTTTCGAGTGCTCGCGTTTCAATCAACAACGTGAGGAGCTGGAGAAGATCCTGAAGAAGACAATTCAACCAGAGACAATCGTAGAAGCAATGCTGTCTTCAGAAGCTGCCTGGAATGCAACGAACACTTTCGCGACAGAAGTGCTTACAGAGCTGCGTTCCATCGAGAGAAAAAGAGCAAAAGACAGAATCTAGAAGGAAGATAACATCTTAGCCACCAGAAGGAAGAGCGGCAGCTAATTCCTCCCCCCCGCGAAGA